GGAGTAAGGGGTGAAAGTTGAAGGTGCAATTTTAAATATAGGTAGGATAAAGTCTCATTCAAAAGGTGACATTTAAGCACTCGACTAAAGAAAGTAAGAAAATTAGTCATTTGTATTATCTCTGTGGGAAAAACACATATTTCCCACTAGAAGGAGGAACTAATACAAAGGTCCTGAGATAAAGAATGTGACTGATGTATTAAGGAACAAGCCAATGGGGCTGGGATGGCATGAGCAAAAGAGAGGATGACAGGAGATCAAAAAAGAAAAGGGGTAGGGGAGGGCAGAGCATGTAAGACCTTAGAGCTCACTGTAAAAACTGGCTTTTACTGTGCAAAAAATAGGAATTCAAAAATTAGGAGGCTTGGGAATTCCCTGGTGGTCTGGTGAGCTTCCCAGGTGACATCAGTGGTACAGTACCTGCCTGCCAATGCAGGAGACACAAGAGATGTGGGTTCAATTCCTGGGTCGGGAAGATCCCCTGGAATAGGAAATGGCAACCCACTCCAATACTCTTGCCTGGAAAATTCCATGGATGGAGGAGCCTGGTGGGCTATAGCCCATGAAGTCACAAAGAGTCCGACATGACTGAGTATCAACCTTCTTTCCTGGTGGTTAGCACGCCACATTTTCACTGCCGAGGGCGTGGGTTCTATCCCTGGTTCAGGAAGTAAAATCTCACAAGCCTTGCAGCAAAAAAAAAAAAAAAAACACCCAACTAGAAGGCTTACCCAAAATCATGTACCTAAAAAATGGCAAAGCTAGGATTTAACCCAGGATTTCTAGACTCTCTAACTGTGTTCTGCTATTCCAACTTGCCACTTACTAACCCACAACTTCCCTCCTAGGAAGTCTGGATTTAAATACTCTCAAAAAGCTAACTTTATAAATAAATACCTTCTAGGTTAGAGATGCACAACCTCTCCAATTAACACTTCTAATCCCCCACAGCCACAATCCTAGATTTAGAATTGACTAATCCTAAAGTCTAATCTAAATCCTAATATTCCAGCCTATATTTGAGGAGATTACAAATTCCAGCTTCCTCCCAAAATGAGACTAGATCAAGAAAGCTTTATCAGGAGACTTACAGCATGACTTTCAGATTCATGTAAAGATAATCTGAATTACTTTTAAAAAATGTAAACTAGTCAGATGTGAAAACAAACAAAATAATGGCTCGTAAATGTCAAAGTATTGTCATGTTCCTTAATAGTTCACTGCTAGTATTAATAACAATCAAGTTCATACACAGTCAAAGAAGCAGCTTCTGCAATTATGATGACTCTTTGAGGTCTGGGATTGACCATTTCATACCTCAAAAGTAACAAAATACTTGTCCTCATTCATCTGTTGCTTTTGGTACTACAACCCCAAACTGTTGACAGTTTCTTGCCAATTGATGGCACCTTAAAGCAAAGACCAGAGGATTTTGAGGGAGACACCAAACATTACTGAGATACTATCCAGACTGGTTAGGCTCATAATGACCCTAGGTCACTCCTTTCCTACTGAATAACCTCAAATGCTATAGGAATACTTCATATATCCATAAAAGAGAAGGTAAAAGATGAAACACGAAGAAGGAACAATTCTACTGTCCAGAGGCTTTCACCACTACTATGCAAATACAGGAGGCTCTCTGCTTCATGAACTCTGGAGCCACCAAAACTCCCAACCAGAAAAAGTATAATGGGAATTACTGAGGATAAAACAAACAAAATGGCTAATAGAAGATTTCCCCTCCAAAGCCAATCCTCTTCAAAAGAAACAAATTCCTTCTATCTCCTTCCCCAGGCTTAGCCAACACAGAAGAAGTGCAACTTTGTGTGGCACTGCCTGATACGCTGGATCTTCCTGAGCAAGAGGTGGACAGCTTTATGCCAGGTCTAGATTTATAGTCAATCTGACTGACTGGGTGTGTTTTTTTTTCTTCTTCCCCTCTAAACTGTATCAGAGAATGCCTGGCTATTGTGCCTTAATATATAATGATGTAGGGCTTTTAAGTACTGCAAAGGGTCCGGAAAAGAAAGTCCTTGCGTTCCAGTTATGGCTCAAATCATGATCTCTCTAGCAATCTTTTTACTTGACCAAACCTGGTTTGGCTTTTCTCAATGAACTAAACAAGCATTCTGACTGAGTTCAGAGGAACCGCTTGTCCCTTAGAGGGTTCTAAGGGGTTGCTTATTCCAATGAGGTGGCTAACAAAGAATATGCTCCAGTACAGAAACCAGGACACCACAGCTGCTATTCCCCTAAATATGCACCTCCAGCTTGATGGGTGGAGGAGGTAAGGAAGGAACAATCAGTAAAACTGAAACAAGAGACCTGGTTTACATACAACATATAAAATAATGCTTAAAGCAAGAATGAATCCCCCCTTAAAAAAAACACAAAGATTAAAAAAAAAAAAAAAAAGAATGAATCTCAGCAGTTAGGATACTATTATTGACACACTGACTCTTTTTCTTCCACACTGCCACTCTCTAACAAAACCCAACCTGGAGGTCTGGCCAGGCCCAGCCAGCAAAAGAAAAAAGTTGAGTACAGTTTGGGGTGGGAATGGCAGGGGCGGGCAGTAAGGAGAGACATTTATCCAAAAAAGGGGAGGGGGACAGCACACAGTACTTTAAGACCATGAGATTAAGAACAAAATTCTCACATTTCCCTCCCCCACCACCCTGTGGTGTTACGCTTAACACAGCAGTAAAAGTTACTGTCATAACTTAGATCTGAAGTGCTGATCAGGGAACCTGGTTAACGTTGTTCCTAGACAAGTATTTGAATGCAGCCTCTATTCAGACCCTACTGGGACTGCCTCTAAACAGGAAGTTAACAGACATCACACATAGTCAGGGAAGGCAAACCACAGTGTCATAAAGATGGATGCGGCTGTCAGCTACAAATCACTCTCACCTCCTTGAAAGTGTTCTCAAGTAAGGAACAGACAGGACACAAGTTCGTAAGCCTCACCTCTTCTCAAATTGGGTCACTCAGGCTAAAGATCCAGCCTTCTGATTCCTGCTGATTATTACTCACCTACTTCACTCCTTACCATGGTGACTATCACTGCCACTAGACTAAAATACTATATTCTTTTTAAAAGGGAACACAGTACTACCAGATCCATACTCCCATTAACTCCTTATTTATACAGCCTATCTGCTTAAAAAGTCCAAGGAAAGACCATCCTTGACCCATTCCAAAACAGCCAGAGACAGTATCAGTCACCAAAAAACCAGCACCATTTCCAACAGGTGTGGACCTTCCCTCAAAGTATAGTCAGCTCCTCCGGAGCACCACCTTTAGCAGCTCCAATAGTACCTCTTTCCCAACCAAGCACCAGCAGAAATGCCACTCTAGGACAATTCTCTACCAAGACTGCTCCAAGCACCAAAAGTATGAATCCAAGTGGTTATCTCAAGAAAGAATTTAAGTCAGTGAATCAAAGAAAGAGCAATAAAGTTAGCACTAAACTCCCAAACAGGATAATCTTCAACATACAGACGACAACACACAGACACCATGCTGATGCAAGGAAACAAGTCATTTGTATGGGGAGGACACAGGTGAGAGAGGGGATTTCTTTTCACTTTGGGTCACATTCAAGCATTGTCTACTCAAAAAATAAACATTTTGAGAGGGGGAAAAAACGTTTTAAAAACTCAAAAGCATCAGCTCTTCTCTGGACACAGATCTGTTAAACCTGCTTTTGTACTCCAGCTGCTGCAAGTTCAAATCTCTCTGCTGCAATCTGGCCTGAAAGCATTGCTCTTTTCCTTTGCTGAAATACACTACCTTAAGTATCTCCCAGCTCTCCACACCTACACAAAGGCCCTCTAAATAATCATTTATCAGGAATGAGAAAACTATTCTCACCCGATTCTCCAGGTGACAGTGGAAGAAAAAAGGGTTGATGGCAAGCTCAGCCAACATCTACATGCCACCCAGCCCCCATGAAAGCCTCCATCTCCACTTCAGTGCCAGCCCTACGAACTAACATCATGTGTTTGGAGGGAAGTTGATGCTGGGGAAGAATCCAAAAAGGCTACCATATCCTTATGAAGGGGGAAAGGTGTCCTGAGCACGCAAATGGCACCCAAACCTCTGCACTAAGAGGAGTAGCTATCTCCTCCGTGCAACTGAGAGCGGGGAGGGCAAAAGTATTCTAAGTCTGGATCTGCTATAAGAAAGGGTAAGTTCTAGTTCCCTCGGCCCTCAGGCACTGACTGAACTGGGATACAGATCCAGTGGGACCCAGAAGCCCAGCCGAAGAAAAGGGTGGTTTAGTCACTACAGAAGACAAGTACCCACACAGGCTTAGACAATTCCCTTCTACGGGAGGGCGAGGGAACGGTGAACGATGAAATAAAGGGGTAAGGTTCTGCGCTCCTGATCCCTTTGCCTATATAAAGATAATCAGCCCGTGTTTCCTTCACCCTTAAGGGTCCCCTATTTGTCCCAACCGCCGGCAAACAGAAGACTGAGAGTAGGGAGCGGCCCCCGCACCCTGAGGGCACCACTGGGGGTGGAGAGAGTTAAGGGGGGGCGCGCTAGAGAGGCAAGGAGGGGAGCATGGCGGGCATGAGGCAGTGAGTTAAAGCGGGGAAGGCGGGGGAAACGGGGCGCGAGGGAGGGGAGAAAGAGTAAAAGGAGAAGAAATGAAGGGACACGAGCTGGGGCGCGCGAGGCCGAAGTGAAAGACCGGGGCGCGCGCGCGGAGAGGGGGGAGGGGATGAGGTGAAGGGGGAGCGGGAGGCGGGGGCGCGCGGTGCCGGGGTGGGGGGAGGGGGACGCAAGGCGGGGGCGCGCGGGCGGGCGTCGGCTCGCGGGCGCTTCCCCTCCCCCCGCCCCTCCACCTTTCCCTTCCCCCACCTCCGCCACCACCGCCTCCTCCCAGCCTCCCTCCCTTCCTCGCTCCTCACCGCCCCCGGGCGGGCGGACGGCCAGGCTGGCCTAGGCCAAAGCTCCTCACCTGGCGGTGGCGGTGTAACTCCCGGCTAGCTCGCCTCCTCAGGCGGCGGCGGCGGCGTCGAAAAAGGAAGAGGCGACGGCACAGTAGGTTCCGGACCCCGCTGACGGGACCGGGGGCGGGGGTGGGGGAGGGGGGCGGGCCGGACCCGGGCAGGCGGGCGGAGCAGACACTGCGGTACAGACGGGGGCAGCGGCGGCGGCGGCGGCTGCACCGGCGGCGGCGGCACCACACAAACAAGGACGCTGATTGGGCAGCTGCCAAGCACCTCGGCTCCGCCTTCCCCACACGCCACGACGCCCATTGGGCGACCTGAGCCGGCCTCCCCGCCCTTCTCTTCTCGGGCTTACCAATAGAAAACGGGCTATCGGGGCTACACCCCACCCTTGAAGAGTGAGTGGCTGGAGAAGTGATGATTGGCGTGCGTAAGACCCAATCATAAACGGAGGAGGGGGATGGTCTAGCGGGGGCGCGTTAATGGGTACCTCGGCCAGTCCCAGACACATCCGGGTCTTCAGCAGCCCATTAAGTGTCGGGGGTCAAAAAATCGCTTCAGGCTGCAACTTTACCTTAGAGACGTTTTGGTCCCCAGGCAGCCGCCGTACCCCAGTATCCCCAAACCGGGATTCCCCTTTGGCCTGCTCTCATTCTTCCAATTCTAAAGATGGAGACTGGTGAACGGCGGTGGGGTCTGCGTTGGGTGGTGTTTCATCGCGACAGAATCCAGGAATTTCACGATAGCAGTAGCTTGAGGCGCTCGGGCCTTGCAGTCTGTTTGGGGCGTGGCCTGTCTCCGTCTGCCAAAGGCCTTGAGCTTCCTGGTCTTCATTGTACCCCAGCACGGTTCTGTCGTGACCGAACCACGACTGGGGGAAAAAAGACAGCTAGCGAAATTGCTGAGAAATTACGCCGCGCAGAGCGCTCGCAGCTCCTTCTCTCCGGATCTCTGGTCTGATCAGGTTCACAGTGAGGGAAACAGCCTCCCACTCCACTGACTACACCTAATCAACTCAAGGCCCAACTCCTGCTAGCCTCCCTACTTCCCCAAAGCAGTTAGGCGCGCCTGAACCCAGCGTTTTTCGAACACGTACCATAAGTATTGTTCTTGAGCATCTGAGCATCTTGAGCATCTGAGGGACCAAGTATCAGAGTCAGTGTGTTAAAGGAATGGTAATAGCTAACGTTTGGGGCAGAGACTGAGGCACTGTGCTGTGTGTGCATTCGTATTTTTTTAAGAGCTTTCCATGGATTATTTATTCCTTGTAACTCAGTGAGGTAGATACTGTTAGCCCCATTGTACAGATCAAGAAAATGAGGTATAAATCAAATGATTTGCCCAGAGTTACATATGATAAGTGGCAGAGCTGAAATTTGAAGCCGGTAGATCCAGAAAGGGGTTCAGAGAGGCTAAGGAGCTTACAAAGTTCAGACAGCTCATTAATGACTAATGGCTCAAACTCAGAAATAACTGGCTCCAGAAGCACTAGAATGTGTTTTTCAAGTAATTTTAAAGTCACGCTGTGCAATGGAAATGAAACTAATGAAGGACACGGGCACAAAAAGGTGGACCCTGAACAGACACACACACAGGTACAAAAGCAGGTAAAGCACGTTCTTTTTCATTGTAGTAGTGTCCAGGTAAAGAATATAGTCTCTGGAATCTGACTGCCTGGGTTTGGGTCTCTCACCAGTTGTGTGATTTGGGTGCAAGTTACTTAACGTCTATTCTCTATGCCCTAGTTTCCCTATCTTTAAAATGGGAATGATTGATGAGTACCTAGTTCATAGGGTAATTGTGAGGATTATAAATTAGTACATTTTAAATGCTCAGGACAGTGCCAAGGACTTAGTAAATACTCCATAAACATAATAGTAACTATTGTGAGAGTTTTCCTCACTTTTCCAACAATTTCACCCTCTTAGTTCAAAATTCAGCTTTGGTTGGTATTCTATCTGTAGTACCTGCCTTATACTACACTGAAAATTATTTCACCACTCCCCCACTCATTTGAATACCTTCATTGGCTCAGTTATTTCACACATGATAGAGGACCTGTTCTGTGATCAGACATTCTTCTTTGTGCTGGGCATGGAGCAGTAAGTGGGACTAAGTCCCTGCCCTTGTGGAAAGTACAGCCCCTCTTCCCTAACCTGTTGCTTTGGCCATTATCAGTTCAGTCCTTTCGGTGCTGTCTGAAGGGCCGTTCTTCAAGGGCTGCGACGATACACGAGAGACACAGCGGTGGAAGATATGAAACTGAGAAAGAGTGAGGCCCGAGAAAATACCTTTCAACAAAATTAAAATCAGGCTGTGGTAGGGCAACTTTCAGTCTGGAGTGATCAGTCTCTAAGAAAGACAAGTAAGCAAGGCCACTGAGTAGTGGACATGTCCTTTGTCCTATGCAGGCTCTACCTGTTTGTTTTATTTTGGAGCTAACGTTTATTGAGTGTGCTTAGCACTTTATCTAGATTTCAAAATTAGTCTTTAATCAACCCCTCCCCAGTTCACAGATGAGGAAAAACTGAGGCACAGCAATTAAGTAACTTGTCTGATATAATAAAATTAGCAAGTGCCAGAGACAAGATTTAACTAAAATTTGTCATACCGGAGCCTACACACTCTAAAGTGAGGGAAGAGAAATTGGGACCAGGTAATTTGGATATATCCTTCCCTTCATTCAGTTTCCCAGGCCACAGGTCAAAGATGTCAGATGCTATGGTGAGTACTTGGCTGTTGGAATTCTGAAATACCCTTGTGGTTCAAGACTTCTGTAATTCCACCCATCTGACTATAGGCTTCTTGAGGAAGCCCAAAAATGAGAAGTGTAGGCTGGGAGGCACTCTAGATCAGGAAGACTGTATGCTCTAGTAAGGTAGGAACTGAGCCCTAAAATTCTCTCTGTAATTCCAGACAGTTCAGTGCATGGCTGGGCATGCTACACTCACCAAAAACTTATGCTTTCAGGAAGGCAGTTGCTCCCTTGCAGGTTGTTAGGGATGATACAGGTAAAGTTTGATCCTAGGTAGTGAGGTCTAATCAGAACCTGGGGCGATGTGAAGGTTCCCCTCTGAAGAAGTCATCTCCTTACCCGACAAAAACAGATGGCATTTCCTAAGCCCCTGCTCCCTTCCTTTGCAGCTCCTTTAGGACACTGCGCCAGACAGGATGGGAAAGCATCCTCTGGCCTGAAGGTCCCAGAATTCAGAAGTAGTACTGCTGTCTTCATCCACTGATTTCCACCCCCAGGAATTTGCACTAGAGGCTCCTGTAAGTTATTTCGTCCATTGACACTCCTTCCCCAAGGCATTTTTGTTTTGCTGGTTAATTCCCTTTGGTAATTGAGTTTACAGCTCTGTTAGGAGTTGTTTCCTGTGTTTATTTCATTATATAGGAAAAAAAGGGAGAACTCCAAGTGGGGCCAAAAGGATTAGAAAAGTCGTGCCTGGCTGCCTGATTTCCACATGCAGTGAGCTCCTTAATCCTTGCTCTTGTCCTCCTAGTGCTGTCCCCAGGCTGAGACCCTGGTTGGAAGAGTACTGCCTGCAGTTAGAGCAGCTCCCAGGATGTGTGAGCGTGGCCAACACCAGTGACTGGGGAGAGGGCTGTCATCCCTGTGGAGGTACTGGAGAAGTTGGGAGGGGGAATATGGGGGAGAGGAAAGAAGGCAGAGATGAGCTCAGGGCCCCCAGAGAATGGAGCCTTTGTGTGGGGTACAGATGAGGGACAAGGAGGTGATTGTGTGGGAGGGCCGGAAGTACCACACAGGCTGGCACCACCATAGCCAGCACCGGATTCACCCCTCTCCTGCTCTGAGAACTCCCTGTGCCCCAAGGGGCCAGCACCAGACCTGGTCAGGGAAAGCAGTGTGTGCCCAAAGGCAGCAAGGGATGAAAAGGTGGAGAGGAGGATGTGCAGCCAGGAGAAAAACAGCGGTATCCCCCCACCTTTATCCCAGAGAACAGGAGGCAGAAGAAAAAAGACAGAAGCAGCTTTTACTATATTTACATCCAACAAAACTTCACAAGGAACAATCCTTATTGCACAGTCAGGGCCCTGGGTGTGTGAGGCATTCCCCAAGATGGAGTGGACAAGAAGGATTAGGACTAGAGGGGCACCAATTTTTCCTAAGGGGAGCTTGGGACTCCTCTAGCTTCTAACTCCTGACTTTCAAGGAGCTACAAACCACTTGACCATGGAGCCCCATTTCCCTTCTCTCTCTTACTGTCCATAAGAACCTCCTAAGCAAGGGTGCTGTGTCTCCAGAATAAATAACTTAAAATAAAATATAAACACTAAGGTAGAAAGGCATAGAGAGCCTTGGGCTCCTTCGGCAATTCTAGGGGAGAGGGACCATCTCTGGTGGGAAATGACATCCCTCCCTCCCGTTCAGGGCAAAGGCTCAGTAGCTGTGTATCTCTTCAGTTGTTTTTTAAAACAAAAACTTATAAAATGGCCAGGGCAGTGCAGACCTGTGGGTACCCTGGAGGGGAGTTCCTGGTATAGGATGGGGTGGAACAGAGATGTGCCAGCTCTCCCCAGGCCTCCTCCAACATCAGCATGAGCATAGAGGGCAGGCTGGAGATGGGAAATTGTGACTTTTGGTAACAGTGGGTCCCACTGCCCCCACTCAGAGCCTATGGCTGGGCATGCTTCCTAGCCTATTCTCAACTCCTCTAGGAAAGAAACAGGGAAGCAGGTTCTCTCTAGAATCCTTCCTCCCTCACTTCCTCAGCCCAGACTGGAGAAGAAAGCTTAAGGGTCCCTAGCATTCCAGAGGCGCTCCGAAACATTTCCGGCAATCAATGGCCTTTGGGGTAGGCATCTGTGCCCGCCGCTGTCTCAGCTCCTCCTTGCCCATGCTGCTGGCCAGCTTGTTAAAGGCGGACTTGTACTTCTTGTCGAAGGCCACTAGGGAAGAGGGTGGAGGGAGGTCAGTAGGTTAGGTCAATCCCCAGCCTCCCACACCTGGCCCTAGAGCTAAACCCCTCGAACCCCGCCTGCTCCCTCACCTATATCCATGTGGTCCTTGCCCAGAGCAGCCAATGTCAGGAATAAGATCTCACGATAGATGCCCCTGGAATGCAGTCAAAAGGGTATTAAATGAGATAAGGCGGGAGGGAGCCCACGACAGACCCAGGACCTCTCAGATGGGAACATGATACCTTTGTAGGTGCAGGCCAGTGGGAGGGGGCCCTAGAGTTTCTAGCAGGAGCCCTATAGCCTTGTGCACCTCGTTGAGACCGACGTGGCGCAGCACCGATTCCAACAACGCCAGGCTGAGGGATGCAGGTACTGGACCTGGCCATACCACCCGCTGTGGGATCTGGCCTGGGTGGAAGAAAGGAAGGTAACCAGGATTATTGAGCCCTCTAAGCATGGGACCTATCCCTTCCCATCCTGGGCCAAATATGAGACTCACTGTGGACCCTCCAGAGCACATAGAGAGGTGGGCAGCTATCGGGGTCAGGGGTCAGGACATCCCACAGCAGCCGCACCTGCACGGATGCTGGATCAGGCATTATCCAAGGAGCTGGGGCCTGCAGGGAGCCAAGATAAAGGAGACAGGCTCATGGCCTGGGAGGCAGGGGACGGGAAACAGACAGGTGCTATTCCAAGGGACAGGGACATTACAGGACACAGCTAAAGAGAAGAGAGAGAGGAACTCTCGTTCCCCATGGGAATACAAGTTCTCTGAGAGCAAGGACTTTGTTTTGTAATCTACTACATCCCTAGTGCCTAAAACTCTGCCTGGAACCTAAAAAGTGCTCAATAAATATTGGTGCAATGAATAGAGTGATGAATAGATGAACATTAACAAATTAGTAATTGGGTAACAGGCACTACATACACTAGGTGCCTAACAGCCCTGAGAGGGGGCAATTATGCCATCTTACAGATGAGAAAACTGAAGCTCAAAGAAGTGACGTGAAATGGCCAGGAGTCAACCAGGTACAAGCAACTCCAAAGCTGTGCCCTGTCTGCAGCGCCAAGGGCACAGAGGACTGAGGAACAGAGCTAGGAGATGAGGGGGCAGGGACTGTGTCAGCGACTGACCTGGGCGGGTGGGGGCCCATCACAGGAGGCCAGCAGCAGGCATGGCAGGATACTGGGCAGGCGCAGCCGCTGGAAATACCACAGAAGGTTCCAGAAGATGATGGGGTGAGCAGCAGGCAACTCAGGCAACGCCAGCACCTCACTGCCTTCATTCTCTACCAGTGACTCCAGTTCCTTACGCAGCACGAGGGGGCTGAGATACGCCCATGCCCCGCTCTCAACACGCCGGGAGGCACTCTGTCAGGCACAGAGGGGGAGGGCATATACCACAGCCCCATCCTCAGAGCCCTGCTTCCCACTGAGCCACCACCTCCAGCAGCTTCTGGGATGCCCCTTGCCCTCTGTGCCCGTCTCTCCTCGGCATCACTGGGGCCACCCCCAGGGTGACACACACAGCTGGGCTCTGGCCCAGCCCTTACCCCCACGTGCCCGTTGCAGAGCTGTGGCTCATCCAGGGCTAGGCAGAGCCTGCGGTCACTGAGCACGGGGCCTGGGCCCCCGGGGACAGGAGCGTCTCTGCTGCCACTGGCACCAGCAGGGGCAGGCTTGGGGCTGGGGGCACTGCAGGGAGATGGCAGGAAGGTCAGCCCTCAGACCTCTCCTGCCCTGCCGCACCCACAGCCCCTGCCCGGTTTTGGGCACCTGGGTCGGGAATCAAGGGTCTGGACACTGAGCAGGGGTACAAAGGGGCAGGCGCAGAACGGACAGGTGGTGTTGAGGTTGGAGTCGTCAGGTGCCCAGCCAGCCATGATCTCCTCATCATACACCAGGGAATCACAGGCGCGGCACAGCGAGCAGCTAGACAGCAGAATCTGTGGGCAGAAGAACCCAGGAAGCAGGCCCCTTTTGGCCTCAGGGCTCAGAAGCCCCTGCTCCTTACCCAGTCTCTAACCTCCACAGCCCCGCCCGGCCTCCTCCCACCTCCCGCCAGGCCCTGCCTCTGACAGGGTGCCTTGGGTGTGGTATATATGTGAGCTCCAGCAGTCTGTGTGGGAGGGGTTATCCTCACTTCCAGGGAAGGTGGCTGGAAGGATCCAGGGGTGTCACTGAGACGCTCTGAGGAACGGCGAAGGCTCACGCTGCTGAGAGAAGATTCTGAGAGGTCCCACTCACTGCCCAGAGAGGCTGAGCTCTGCCATTATGAGAGAAAGCACAGTCAGCCAACCCCATGCTACTCTTTACCCAGGAAGCTGGCTCAGCCACCCTTCAAGGCCCACTTCTGGGCCCTGCGGGTTGGCAGCCCCTCCCCAGGCCTCCAGGTGCTGAAGTGTCTGGACCCTGCCCTTACTGGTTACCTCGGATGCAGTGGATCCAGGGCGCTCCCGGGGGTGCAGAAGGCTGTCCATGGGGCTGCGACGGGTTGAGGGAGGCAGGTCAGGGGGCAGCTCAGACGGGGGGACACGAGAGGTGGGGGAGCGGCGGGAAGGAGTGAGTAGCTGTTGGAGGCGGGCACCCAGCCCTCTTCGGGGGGTGCTGGCCTCATCCTGACGCCCGCCAGCCTTGGGCACCCGCCCACTTGGCCCTTCCAGGGTTTCAGTGGACTGGGTGCTCAGGGCTGAGCCTGAGTCCCCTGGGCTGCCTCCAGGTGCCGACTCCTCCCCGGTCAGGCTCAGGTCTGAGAGGCTTCCGTCATGCCAGGGTATGGGTGATCCCCGGGGTTCCAGGACCCCCAAGGCCTCTATCACTGCAAGGCAGAAAAGTATTGGGGAAGATGGAGTCCAGGCCCTCCTTGGCACCTGAGTAAACACAATTCCTGGCTATTCAATCTGGCACCACAGCCCCCACCATGATGACGGTCCGGGCAAGATTCCCCCAGAGCCTACAGTACCTGCCACAGAGCATCACCCCTCCACCCTGCCTCTCTAGCCTTTCCCTTTCACTGGCAAGTGGTTAGGGAAGCTGACGGGCCGAAGGGTGGGGTGTGGGATGAGGGCACTCACTGTGGGCCACGCCAGCCTCCACGGTGGGCTGTGCCCCTCGGGCACTACCCAGGCTGCCACTCTTCACCAGGCGCCCCATAGGTGAGGCGGGGTCCCGCAGGCTTCGCCCGGCCCAGGTAGTCTGGCGCTGAAGGGGGCGGGTAGGGGAGGGGCGCTCCAAATAGGGCTCTATAAAAGACAGGAAGGGGGTCAAAAGACAGCCAGCTAGAAACCTAGCCCCCAGCTCCAAAACAGAGCTCCTCACAGGGACCTGGGTTTGCAAGGCTCCTCCCAGGCAGAACTTCATGTCTTTTGTTGCCAGCCAAGTGTAGTTTATCCGTTCTCAGCACACTGAATGTCAGCTACTAGACCAGCCCCAGCTCTCCGTGCCTGTCCCCTGCCCGTGTCGCCAGTCCCTACCCACCTGTCTGCGAGCTGCCTGCCTCTTGGGCTGCCGTCTCCACCTCCTCCCGCTGCCGCTGCCGCTGTTCTCGCAAGGGCTGGCGAAACTGAGCCGCCCCCAGGACCACGTTCCGGAGCTTGGCCCAGCGCAGTCGCCCACCTGGTGTGCCCGACGGCCACTTGCTTTCCAGCACAGCCTGCCAAGCAGTGTTCACCCATGAAGACGGCCTGTCTCCATACCCTGGGCCTCAGCTAGGTGCCAACTGCCTGACCTGGGGGCCCAGCGACCACCTTTCCCTCCAGACATCCTGCCTATGGTTGTCCTGCCAAGGGCTCAACCAGGAACAAGAGCCCAGAAGAGAGAGCTGGCAGTGGCCACCCTGAGGGGTTCTAGAGGAAGTCAGAAATGGTGGAGACAACCTGTCTGTAGACTGCTGTTTATAAACTATGGGCTTTGAAGAAATCAGTTCATTTTTTTTTAGTCATTAGTTTCCTCGTCGAAAAGACTGGAAATAGTTTAGTGTCATGGTGAAGGGCCTGAATTCAGAAAACGATATGCCTGTGTGTGTGTCCTAACTCCCTAACTTATGTGGTATCTCGAACAAGTTACTAACCCCCTGCAACCTCATGGCCTCATCTGTAAGATGGGGCAATAACTGTTCCACTTCAGGGGGCTGTGGGAAAGGCAAGATGGTTTTACGTGGATGCTGTCTTTGGAGCAGAGCCTGGCATACTGGCTCCCACGATCAGCTATTACTGGGAGGTGGCAGTACTTTTCTAACCTCCTTGCCAGGACTGTTGTGGGTGAGACTCAAAGCAGCCCAGTATGAGAAAACCCTCTGCAGGTGCTGAGGCTCTAGCAGAGCACTGTGCGTGGGCCGCAGGACCTGTTGGACTGCACGGCCCGATCTCCAAGGGGAGGGGAAAGCCACAGGTGTCGGGGGCCAGCACCCTCCCCACACACCCCTGCCACAGGCCGCCATCCCACCCCTCACCCCGGAGGTCAGTGACTGGGTACCTTGTTATAGTAGCCGTAGGTGATGGTGTTGGGCACGATGCCTGCCCGCCGCATGTCCAGCATGACCCGCACGGACAGCACGGGCTGCCCATAGTGTGAGCACAGCTGCATCAGCACCCGGTAACACACCTGGGCCGGGAGACACGCAGGTGAAAGTGGACTCGCTCTCAGCCCCGATCCTCAAGTCTCATTGAGCACTCACCGCCAGCCTCCCCAGTTCTCACAGAGCCACCCTCCCTTCCTGCTGACCCTGCCACCCTGCAGTCCCCGCTGCTACAACCTGAACACGCTCATCAGTTCAGTGAATGTGACGGAGCACCTGCCCAGCTCCTGGACTCGTGCCCCTGTTCCCTGTCAGCTACAGCCCCCGGGCTGCACCAGCCCCCGGGCTGCACCCCGAGCCACTGGGCGTGGGCACCCACCTCGTCAGGCAGCACCACCTTGCGGCTCTCCATCTGGCGCAGCACCTGGTAGGCCGTCTGCAGTGCCCGCACCCGGGAGGGCGCCGAGCGCACGTAGGCAGGCAGACACAGGAACCACAGCCCATAGCAGTGGCCCAGCAGGCACCGGGCCCACAGCTCAGGCACAGCTGCTGACTTCTGTGCCATCCGCTGTGCAACCTTCATCTCCTAAAGAGGGCGGGGGACACACCTGGGTGAGTATGATGCCAGGGCAGGTCTTAAAACAGTGTGGGAGAAGCAGCACCCTCCCTGAGAAAGGGTCTGTGCGCTGATGGGGTGGCAGGGACAGTGCCCACACAGTCCTGGATTCCCAAGCGCAGATGCTTAGCTCGAGCGTGGGCAGGTGTCCTGGCAGAGGCAGCAAGCCCCTGGATTTCCAGAGTCCTCGGAAAATGAAGATGAGGACAATGACAATGGTAATAACAGTGATGGTTCATGTTCCTTTTTCGTGCCAGACATATCGAAACCTCCCAACAACTTTATGGGATAAGTACTTTTACACCCATTTTACAGATGAAGAAACTGAAGCAGCAGTCAGATGCCTCTAGGGGGCCCACCTGCTGGTTACCTGTTTGGTACGGCGAGGGGCAGGGCTGCTGGGGGCGCTGCGGGATGGGCCTGGCACAGGCAGAGCCCCGGCTTGTTCTTGAGGAGACTCAAACAGCTCAGCCCGAAGCTCGGGGAACCCATCATAACTAGAGGGGCGGAAAGAGGCCATATGGAGAGCAGTTGGTACTAAGTCAGCTGATCGGGCCTCAGAGCAAGAGAGGGGGCGGGAGGCACTCACCAGTACTGGGGAGTGGATTCACTGGCCTCTGGCGCTGGCGGCTCCTCGGGAGGTGTGATAAACACGGTGAGCTCACTGCCCGACAGCTCCTCCAGCTCCACCAGGGGTGCGGGCTCAGGCTTCTCCTGCTCTGGGTGGACCTGAAGCAGGAAGGTAAGAAAGGGGACATCCAGACAGTGGGCATAGAGCAGGGCCGGGGATCCAGAAGATGGCATCTCCCAGGAAAGCACAGCCACAGGGAAGGAGGTAATAGGCCCAGATTCTGTCAGGGCCCTGGAGATAGACAGGGGATGAGTGAGGAACAGGAAGACAGTATGTCTGTGAGGCCGGTCATGTGTGCTGCACAGGCTATGTGCTGTTTAACTCCAGGGGCGCCAGCCTCGCCACACGTGAGATATAGTGTTTATATCTGGGGTAACAGAGACAGCCGAGAGGGGAGCAGAGGGCACAAAAAGAAGGGATGATCCCAATACCTTGTCAACACAAGAGTCAAAGAATTCAAGGGCAGCATGCCGAGCAGAGCCAAAGGAGCATTCCTCGATGAACTGGGAGAACATCTGTGTGTGTAGCAGCTGGGAGTACAGCTTGTGGCTGGAACGTTCTCGGGACTTGAGGAAGCCTGATGAGTGAGAATGGGGCCAAGAGGGTGGTCACTGGGGGCTCCACCACAGCCACCTGCTTCTCAACCCTTTTCTTGGCTCCCCGCCAACTTGGCATCCAAGGCCATAAAAACCATCCTCTCTGGCCCCTCTGGCCCCACCCGCCAAGCTGACCAGCTCAGCTGCCCCAGCACCACGGCCCCGTGGCATCCCTCCCTTTTATCTGTGGGCCTCTAGGGCCTCAGACTGGGGAGTCACCAAGAGAGGAGCGTTTTGCCCATGGGCTGGCTCACCACAGGTGTCACTGTGTCCCCACCACGCCCTGGCTTCCCGGAGCCAGTGCCACAGCTGACTCATCTTGTACCCTAACCCCTCACCAGGCCCAGAAGAGCACGTGGCTCAGAGCTGGTGCCCACAGAAACACCAGCTGAGCTTAGAAACAAGTAACCGCGCGATTCCCCATGCCCCCGACCTCCCCGTGGAGCCCAGCCCCTGGTCACCCATCCCATGACACCTTCCCCAAGCAGGGACCGGTCGCCTTTACCTTGCAGGAAGAAGAGGTTGTCGACATCGCGCGACCCCTCAGAGGGGGCCTGGGTGAGTGGGCGCAGGAAGCCCCGGTAGCCCTTGAGCAGGCAGGCCATGAAGCGGAGGAAGGCTCCCTGGACCTCGCGCTCTAGCCGGGCCCGGCGGCCACACACTGCCTCGTAGTCTGTCAGCAGGAATTCCAGGGAGGCCTCCTCCTCGGGGCCAGTGTATGCTGGGGACCAGGGCAGCCTGAGCGCCAGGGCCAGCACCCACAGGGCCTGCTCAAGCCTGCTCTCCACAGACGTCAGGCTGCCACGCGGCCACCTGCTGCCCCACCACTGCGGCTCCTGACAGACCCGCACCGACGGTAACAAAGTTATCCTTGGGTAACGGTTTCAAGCCTGCCAGGGGAAGCTCAACCTCCCTGACATATGCAGGAGCATTAATGTGACATATGCCTTCCTCTAACTTAAACTGGAACTCGAATTCCTCTCACTTCCCCCCAATGAAAGCCTAGTTCTTCTAACCTCCTCAAGTAAGGTCCAGCTCTCCACAGGTCTCCCCAGACTAGAGGTTAAAGGTCAGTAACAGTTTCCGGCCCCCCACCCCCACCCAGGCTCCTCACTCTGATCCAGCTGCTGGTACAGGTGTGTCAGTGTGGCCAGCAGAACCTTGTAGGGTCTTCGGGGCAGGGTCCGAGGGGAGAGGGGCTTCTTTTCCTCAGTCCTGCGAGTTAAACAGAAGGAAAAAAGGGTGATGGTGTTTCTTGTTTTCCCTGAGGCTCCTTTTGAGCAGGTACACTCCATTCACCAGCCCTCTTCTGCTCCCATCCTCGAAACCCCCAGAAAAGACCCAGCCCTCTTACTGGAAGAGCGTGTTGGTATCAAGATCCACACAGATGACATCCACAGGTGGGTCATGCAGATCGAAGTAGCTGGAGTGGATACCCACGATGAAGGGCACGGGGGCACTCAGCACGTCTGCCAGCACCAGTGGGCACAGCGGAATGTAGGGGCACTGCCAGTGCAGCGGGAAGATCATCTAAAGCATCGGGGGATGAGGACCAGTGAGCAGGGCACAGGGGGCAGCAGAAGAGGGGGCATCGACCTTGACCGGTGGTGCTTCTTGTCAGAAGCTGTTGGAGTTGAGCTCCAAAGAAAAGCTCCTGACCGAAGCCGTACATCCTGTAGGCCGCGCCCAAGGATAAGACTGAGGAACCTTCCCCAAGAAAGGAAAAGTAAGGAGAATCTAGATAGGGACTAGGGCACAAGAAAGAACACCCTGGGTAAGGCAGGCTGGGCAGAGTGGCACTCACAGAGACGAGGGCCTCGCAGACGCTGGTGAGCAGATCCGGCCGCAGCGAGTGGACTAGTAGCTTGTGCTCCGTGAGCACAGCGAGCAGCAGCGTGATCGCCAGCTCCGGGCCCAGGGTCTGCAGCAGTTGCAGGAAGCTGGCACCACTGGGGGCAATGCCAAGGTGGGGGAAGAGTCAGCAGGAGGCCCTTCCCTCGTCGCTGGGCACAGACACCACCTGGGCCCAGCCTGTACAGCCCCTCCACACCGGTGCCCGCTTGCCTGGCACCCACTAATGCCCCTGGTCATCACAGCCCTGCCCCCCAACCTGAGCATATACCTGAGGGGCAGGGGTGAGGATACAGGCTGGCAGAGGAGCAGGTTGTCATAGGGAGACATCTGAGAGGCAGAAGAGCCACAGGTCAGGATGGTGAAGACTGGCCCCTGCCCATCCTCCCCCTCCCACCTAGCCCCAGCCCCAGCCCTCACCTGCACCAGGATGCGGGGTCGCTGTGGGGAAGGGAAGGGAACATTGTGAATGAAGTGGGAGATGTGCCTGGGGAGAGAGGGACACGGTCAGAGGCGGACTCGCGGCCACCCACTCAGCCGCCTTGGCTCTTTCCCTCCACCTGTCCCCAAGGACCTCACCCCTCCCCAAAATCCACCTCGAGACTGGGGTCAGCCCCCAGAGCCTCCATTATGCACAGCACGGGTACACATCAGAAGATTCCCTCTGGGCGTGCACAGGCCCTGGCCAGGACTTAGCTAAGCAAGTGTAGCCTGGGTTTCAGGCCCCACTCACCCCTTCAGCCAGGGGCACTTCTGCAGTGGACCAACTCTCCAGCCACACACTACAGCCCCATCCCCGACTCCTCTGTGCCCCCCAGCCGTCCCCCCCAGTTCCAGCGTCCTCTCCTCCATTCCTCCTGGCTCATAACCCTTCCCAGCATCAGGGAAGCCCCATGCTCACGCTTCCAGGGGCAGACGGTGGGGGCCTGAGACGGAGTAGCGGTAGAGGAAGGTGAGGAAGGCGCGGAAGGCCGGGAAGGCAGGCCAGCGGGACAGCACAGCGATGGCGCGGCGGCTGCGCACAGCCCGGCCCCCCAGTGCCCGGCCCCGCTCCACGGCACTCAGCAGGCCCAGCGCCCGAGCCTGCCGCTCCGACAGCCTGGCCCTCGGGAACGCCTCGTAGAACTGCAAGGCAGCACCGTACACCTGCGGGGCAGAGTAGCAGTCAGGCGGGCCCTGCGGAGCCCAGACCCCTGACCACACTCCACACACCCACCTTATCACCAGCTGCACCCGTGAGCACAAAGGTGGAGAAGACGGGCACGGGGTACTTGGTCTGGGCGGGCCAGCACTCGATAGTGGCCCCCATGGGCAGGCAGAAGACGGGCACTGACTCGGGCAGCGGGAACGCCTCATTGTCCTCCTCTGGGTAGCGGCCCAGCAGCTCTGCACCCCCGGCAGAGTGGGGGGTACCCAAAAGGAGTAGGGTTCATCAGACTCCAGGGGAAAGAACCAGGGGATCCCAGAGAAGGGCCATGTGGCAAACGGGAGGTGAGTTCTGTGGACACTGAAGGTACCAGCCAAGAGGCACCAGGGCAGAGGGACGCACGGGTCGAGGGACCAGAGACAGAGGGGCTACTCACCTGCCTCATACGCCAGCGTGTTGGCCTTGGCCAGGCCCACCTTGTAGCAGAGGTACACGGCTGGGCCCCACTGCCCCAAAATGGCAAGAGACAAGCAGACACACAGCTAACAAAGCTTTCTGGGGGGTTATTTTCTCCACCACCCCTAAGTGGTCTTTGTCTTTAGAACGCCTGTCAATCCCAGTCCCCCAAGACCAGTGTCACACCTCTGGGCCCATCCCCGCCACTAGGGGCCTTGGTCCTAGGATGCCCTGTGTGCCCAGTGTCCACCCCTTACACGGAGATGGTGTGAGTCTCGGCTCCTGGCCCAGGGCCCCACTCACCATGCCAGGGTTGAGGTTGCGAGGCAATCGGCAGTAAGTATGAGGAGTACCCTCGCCCTTGCTGGGCAGTACCAGGCAGAGGTCAGTGATGCCCAGGGCATGCAGCCCTGCCCCCTCTGCTGCCCGCCGGTAAGTGAGGTAGGTGCGGGGGTGCCCAGGGCCTGGAGGGGCCAGGTTGGCTGAGTGGCTGTAGGGTGTCGTATCTAGCACTTGGAAGCCAGGCTTGGGACGTTCCTTCCCCTCATACAACACCCTGGGCACAGAGAACAGAGAGAGAGGTCAGGAGTCCACAGCAGAGGAGAAGGCCCCCAGTCTTGCTAGATCTGCCTTCCTAGTCCTACCTACTCAGCCTAGCCGAACACCGACACCAGGGCCCACTTCTTGCTGAACCCGCCCTCCAAAACCCTGTGCCCTTCTCTGCCCTTGGCTCTTTTATTTTTTTTTTGGCTGCTCCAGGTCTTAGTTGCAGCAGTCAGGATCTTTAGTTGTGGCGTGTGGGATCTCGTGCCCTGACCAGGGAGCGAACTCAGGCCCCCAGCACTGGGAGTGCTGAGTCGTAGTCACTGGACCACCAGAGAAATCCCTAGGCTCCACTTGATCAGGAACAATACCTCAGGCCTTCCCCGGCTCTCAGTGCTCATTAATAAATACCAAGAATAAAAGCTACCATTTATTGACTCTGTGCTAAGTCCCTTAGATATGGATGATCTTGTTTCATCTCAACTACCCTATGAGGAGGTATTATTTTCCCCAAATTACAGCTGAGGAAATAGACCCACAGGGTCTCAGTAACGTGCCAAAGGTCACAGAGCTAGCAAGTCGCAGCACTAGTACACACACCCAAATCTGTGTGAGGACTAAGTACACACAACTTCAGGCTCTTCTCCCTGGCCTCAGGACCAGTCTCTTCCCATTCCTATTGCACATCCCTCATCCCAAACCCCTACCTCACCCCAGATCTCCTAGCCTCCACTGGTGCCAGCAGGAGTAGGTAGGTGTACACACCCCAGCTCAACGAGGGGGGGCTTGTCACGCCCCCTCCGGTAGCAGATGACGGGCTGAGTTCCACCTAGGAGCCCAGCGCTGAGTTCCAAGGGGTGGCCCCCAGCGGAAGCCTGGATGCATGTGTAGCCCTGCGGCACCTCCTCGCCCAGGGCCCTAGCGATGACTGCCACATCTGTGATGGGCTCAGCAGGCCGGGGAGGGCGCAGGGGCCCACTGGGTTCAGGAATCCACGTTTCCTCAGGGATGGGTGCTCCGTTGCCTGCAAGTCCAGCTATCACAAAGTAATCCACCAGCCGGGGGGGCCGCTCCTCCGCCATGGCCCCCCCCTCACTCACTGCATCTGGAATGGTCAAGTTGGGGAGAGATGAAGCAAGGAAGGTTTGTGTTGCCATGGCAACTGGCAACCAGGGAGTCTCCCTTTTGCTTCCCTCCTCTTCCCAGTACTTTCAAGGAAAAGCAGGATCAGTGGCCAGCCAATCCTGAACTCTCCCGCCTGTGACATCACCAGGCCCTAACAGCCCACCACAGCTCCTTAAAGAGACCAGGACCCTCTCTCTTGGTACCAGCCCTCTTTCCAAAGAACCCACTGCACACAGCTAACCTAGGCTCTGGGTTCTGACATCACATGGTTTCTGTATCCCTTTTAAAGACCCCAGCCTTCTTCTCTCCCTAACAGAACAGAGATCAGTCTTTTCTGTAATGGCCTACAATGACATCATTTGTTCTGGCTGTGACATCAGGCTAACATTACAGTCTTTTTATGGATTTCTGGCCTTCTTACTCTAGTTGACATTCTAAGAATCTCATGAGCCAGCTAATATTCTTAAAGAGTCCATCTCTAGGTTTCTGTGAGGAACCCACAAAACCCAGGCTTTAAGTGTCTTTTCACCAGACTCCAGTGTCCTTTTTTCTAACCTAGCTCCACTAACCTGACCACCCCCCCCCAAAAAAAAAAAATCAGTGCCCTCCAACCTCCAGGATCCTTAGGTATTCTCAGTTAGGTCCAAAGCAGCTGTGGGAGACAGTCCCCACCATCCCCAAGCCCTCCTCCATGAAGCCCAGAGACGGAAACAGGCCCACAGGGGCTTCTCAGTAACTCTTCTCACCTGCCTCCATGGCCCAACCCCCGGGAGTAGGAGCCCCAAGGGTCCCAGGGTGCCCCGAGTGCAGAAGCTGGGAAATAGCTTGGTGGGTGGCTTGCAGCAGAGGACTGGAGGCGTGGGGACTGCTTCAGAGGGGAAGGGAGGTGACTTCCTGAAACAGTGGAGGGGAAGCTGCAGCTCGGCGGAAGTCAGCCTATGGGTGTGTGTGGTGCTGGTGGGGGTGTGCAGGGGGGGGATTGTCAGAAGGTGCCAACACAGCATCATTCCAAGTTGGAAGCTTAGCCTAAAGGACCCGGGTCAAGGCAGAGGCAGCTCAGACTAGATCCGGGATGTACAGTCCTACTTAACCTCCCACCCTTGCCCAGAGAAGAGGGAGCAAGGGAATCTCATGGACCCAAGCTGGGTCTCCTTAACCTGGCCTCTGGTCACTCACACATACACCAACTCCAGCTAAATTTAGTCTCCACATCTGCGAGGTGAAGCCAGGAGTCAGCGTCAGCCTCCTGATTTAGCTCTGGGACCCAGCCCCGTGCCTTGTCCACTGCAGGCGAATGGGAGCCCTATGTCCTTTGCCCCAAGCAGCAGGCAGGAGCCACGAGGTGAGACCAGCTGAGGGGCGAGTGGCTCCCGTCGGCAGGACCTGCGCACCCGAGCCTCTCCTCACCGAGCTAGGGAAGGGTCCTGCAGGAAGGCAGCCCTTTCTCCCTAGGGAACGCAAGGGGCAGGGACACCACTCCGGGCCCCGGCGCCCGCGAGCCGGACAGCGGGAAGTTCGCGCTGGGGCAAAGGGCGCGCCGAGCAGGAGGAGGCTCGGGAAGGAGCAGGAGGGCAGAGAGGAGCGGACGCGCAGGCGGCCGGGGACGTGACGGCAGCAGCGCCGGCCGCCGCGTGACCGGAGCGGGAGGGAGGGGTGCTCAGGCTCGGGACCCGCGGGAGCGGGAGGGGTGCAGGGCGCCGGGCACAGCTAGCGAACTCCAGACTGCGCCCTCCCCTCCACTTTCACTTCCCCAGGAGAGAGGAACCGGAACCAGATGTGCAGCGCCAGAGAACAGCTGGGGAGAGCCCCCGCCCCGCCCGCGCTCCCTCCCTCCCTTCCCCGCCCGCTGCCCCGCCCGGTCCAGCCCCTACCTGCCTGCCCCGCGACTCCCCGGCCGGCCGGCCAGCGGGCGGGCGGCTCGGAAGGCGGGCTGGCGGGCCGGCGGACGGCGAGGCTACCCGGCCCCGGACATGGCGCACCCGACTCGGGCGCCGCTCCCGCCGGGACGGCGAATGAAGAGGGAAGAGGCGGCCGAAGGCGCCGGGGCGCAGGGCGCCTTGGAGGGAGATCCGGGCGATCCCAGCGTCCCCGCGCGCTGCGCCACGCGGGGACTGTGCTGCCGCGCCGCTCGCTCGCGCCGCGCGGTCCTCCCAGCTCCCGCCGCGCTGAGGGCCCGGTGCTTCTCCGCGCGCCCCGCTTTCTCCGCTCCCCCCACCCCCCCCCTCCGGGACCACGGGCGCCGCCGCTCCCCCCACCCCCCCTCCCCGGCCGGCGGCCGTGACCCTGGCAGCGCCTGCCCAGCGCCCGACCGCCTGCAGCGCGACCCCTGGCGGCTGGGAGGGCCCCTTGCACCCAGGGAGCTTCCCACCGCCCAGCCATTGCCACCGGACACTGACCCTAGGCGGCCCCTCAAGTCCGAGGCGCGCTCTCGTCCCGCCCTCGAGCTCACTCAGATGTGGCTTGCCTGCCTGGGTGAAGGCCCTTAAAGTCTAGTGTGCGGAGACCCAGGTGGCTGCCCCTACTTCCAGGTTTAGGGCACACTGCATTCCCTTCCAGCCTAAGCCAGAAGTTCTCAGTTCTCTTTTTTGAAAATGACAAGTTTTGGAAAGAGGAAGAAAGGCCAGGACTGTGGGCTGTGGGCAAGTAGCAGAGGTAGAGGTGACGGAGGAGGGGCACTGCTCTTCTGTGCTGGGTGAGGGAGAGAAGAGGGCAGAAGCTCAGATGGCCAGAGGACTAGCAACCCCAGCCAAAGAGGAAACCTCATCAAAACAGGTTAGCTAGCACTCAAGCCTCGGAATCGGTGGGTGGAGAAGAGTGGGAGGGCAAAGTGAATTCCTGCATGGTGAGGGGCAGAATGAAGAATGAGAGGCCTTGGGTCGGAGGCCGGCCGGGTACATCGAACTTCCGGGTCCTCCAGGCTTAGTATCTGGCCTCAGTAGTCTTTAAATCCTCTCTCCTCCGAAGCCTTAGCACTGAGGCCAGATACTCCTGGGGAGAGGTGGGGTCATTCTACCAGAAATATCCAGAGCTGAGAGCTCAGCCACCAGTCACCTCCTCACCTCCTGACTCCCTGCCAGGGTCTCAAGTTTGAGGAAGAGTAGTAGCAGCCAAAGCCACTGTCCCCTGAGGCCACAGCAAGGCCCTGGACAAATAAGGAGGCACCTGTGCTGCCACCGGGCCTACACCCAGCCTGCAGCCCTATATCCAGTGCTGAGTACAAATTCTGAGGCTTTGGGGGCCCCTCCACAAACCACATGGTGTTGAGAAGATGCAAAATGCATAATAGGGGACTTCCCTGGTGTTCCAGTGGCTAAGACTCCATGCTCCCAATTGCCCAGGTTTGATCCCTGATCAGGGAACTAGACCCCACATGCCCCGAATGCCATGAAGATCCCGCTTGCTGCAACTAAGGCCTGGTGCAGCCAAATTAAAAAAAAAAGAAAGCATAGCAGGCGAAAAGACTCATGTCCCCAAGAACTCCCTTGATCCCCAGCTGTATCCCAAACAGGAGCCAACCACACCAAGGATTTAATAGGATTTTTTTATTAACATATAATATATTTAATAAAAAATAATATCCACTCTGGCTCTCTCCTCCATTGCAAGGGGAAGAGTGGTGAGGAGGGGCTGGCACTGCCCACCCCTAGGCATCCGGACAAGCCCTGCCTCCGGGGTTCCCCTCTACCCCCCACTTTCCAACAGGCTCTGACCTCCAGACAGACGGTTCAAAGTTACAAGTGCTTTAGGCCCTCCCTTGAGCTCCCCCAGGTCCCCCCGCCTTGTGCAGAATTCAGGGACCACCTGGAAAAAACCTCTTGCCTTTTCTCATTCTTGGGATCCTTCGTTCATGTCAGAAAGAGGATCTGGGGGCAGAGAGTGGCATCTCTACTGGCCAGGGGGAAGGGAGGAAAGGGGCAGTGATGAGGGACAGGGCTGAGAAGAGGGATGGCGATGAGGTGGCCTCACTGCAGCCGGTCACTGCGGAACGAGTCCTCCACAGCCGGGTCAGGCAGCAGGGCGCAGGGGTCGCTCAGCATGCTGAGCCCCTCCAGGCCCAGTGGCTCCATGCGCAGCTCCTCCTCCAGCCCCAGCCCCAGCCCCAGCCCAGCTGCTGACACCTCAAAGCCCGGCACTCCGGCCAGGGCCGCTGCAATCTCCTTAGAGAAGCCTGGGGAGGCATCTCCTGTGTGGACGGAAGAGATGAGTGAGGCCCCGCCTCTTGAACTCTTCCAAGACCGCCCCCCCACACCCAGTCTCCTGCTGCGCCACCCAATGTATCCCGCCCTCCTTCCATCCTCAGGCACTGTCCACACCTCTCACCTGTGAGGATGATGTTAGGCCCTGAGCCGTGGCGGGAACAGTGGGTTACGTTCTGGTGGTTGAGGGCGTGAGGGTCCTGGGGACCACTCACTGGTCCCTCACCCCCTAAGAAGCCAGGCCCTTCGGAAAAGCCAGGGGGATCCAGCGCCAGGCTGGTCGATGGGTTCTCCATGTTGAACTGCTCCAGCTGTAGACATACACACAGCCTGGAGTAAGTGGGCTTCAGAGCAGGGTGTTGCTGCCTGGCTTTGCCGAGCACTGCTCACACACCCCCCTTGCCCAGTAATCTTCATACACCTCTCTCTACCCCACCTCACCTGCCACATGGTGGCAACAAAAGCAGAGATAGAGGAAATGGCAACAAACACAGTGACAGAAGAGAACGCGGAGCCCAGAGGAGGTGAGAGCACTGTACCTCCTGGGACAGAGCACGCACGTGCTAGGAAGACAGTGGGTCAGAGCAGCAGCATCAGAGAGCAAGCTGCGTGGAGGGAGCTGGGGCAAAGGGGCGGGAGCAGGGGTCAAATGCAGGGAGAGAGGAGCCCCAAGTTGATGGTACTGTGTTACCTAGAGAGAAGAAAGAAGGCTCTCCCCCACCTAGATGCTCCAATTCAGAGTGCCCCCCTCAACACCACTCAGGCTCTTCGACCCACCTCCATCCCCTCCCCTGCTTCTGAGCTAGGGACCCAGGTACTCACGTTCCCCAGGCTGAAGTCGCTCATCGACCGGTGGTAAGACTGTTGCCCATGCCCACTGGGGCTGGGTGGGTACAGTGTCCCATACTGCAGCTGCCTGCCCGGGGGCCGAGCCCCTGAGGGCTGCGCTGAGCAGGCCTGAGAGGACAGCCCTGGCTGCTGCAGAGGCTTTGGGGTGTGTTGCTGGGTGGGCAGAACCAAACTTGGGGGGGTGTATGGGTATGGAGGCAGCCGCTGGTCAGTGGGCAGCTTACTGGTATCCAGGGGGACGCCCTGAAGAGAGGCAAGCAGAAAGGGAGAAGCTTACCCCTCAGTGTGCCCCTTCAGAGGAACTCCGTCAGGGCTTCTCACCCTCTTTGGTTGCAGACATCCTCAACGCAAAACCAAAAGCGTTTCATTGGGCATCACTGCGGTGCAACTACTCTCAGAAAAGCATCTTGGAATGCAAGTGACTGAATGAGGTTAACACAAGCATAATTCTGAATCCACTCCAGGAGTCAACGATTCTTAAACCTGGGTACTCTAACTACTATTAGTAATCAACTACTTGGGAGACACCTCACAAGCTACTGATCACACAACAGTGACCTTGACAACTGTTCTAAAGCCCTGAAGAGGCCAGAGGGACTGCGAGAGGAAGGAGGGTGAAAGGAAGGAAGTTAGGCTCACTCCAAGTTCCAGGAGAGCAGAGCCCTTGCTGGCCTGGCCGTAGCCTTTCCTGCAGAAAAGGGGGCCTGCATAAAGATGGAACATAGAACACACATCCCAGGGAGGAACGACAGAGGAGGGGAAACTAGGACAGAGGAGAGGGAAAGAAGAGCGTCGCAGCGAAAGGAGAAGAGGAGCAGAGAGAACACAAACGGGGACGGGGAGGGGAGGAGGGGAGAGCTAAAAATGTTAACATCGAGGAAGAAGCCCTAAACCAAGAATTTGGGGTTCTGGTCCCAACTCTTCCCTCACATGCTGCGTAAACTTGGGAAAGTCACTTTCCCTCTGGGCCCCAGCGTCGTCGTCTGTAAAATGAAGGGACTGGGATCCATCACCTGACAGTCTCTAACTCTATAGAATCTAAGAAAGAAGGTGGGGATACGGGAGAGGGAGCGGGGCAGAATGGAGGCAGGAGAAAAGAGACAGACAAGAAAAGAAGGACAGGAACCAAAGAGAGAGAGAAGGGAAAGGACAAGCTATCATTTGTTGAGTGTGCACCTGGGCTGGGCATGGTGCCGAGTACTTCCCACATGTGACTGCCTTTGATTCTTACATTGCTGGCCTGGCTTTACAGATGAGGATGCTGAGGCTCACAGGAGTTAAATAAACATCTAAGGAGACTGCTGCTAAGAGGTGGGGCCAGAATTTGAAATTAGAGATCTTAACCCCAGGGTTTGCATTCTTAAAGCTAAGAAGAAACAAGATGGATCCAAGTGGGGTTGGTAGAGGACAGAGGAGTGGATGGGGATGGATAACACCAGGAGTGAAGAAGAGGTATTGGAAGAAAGCAGGGTGGGAGGGAGAGAACTTGGCAGAAGAAGGAAGGAGGGGAAGACAGACATGTAGGGAAGGCAGCCACGCATACCTGAGTGATGGAAGACAAGGTGGGTGACATTGTTGGCGAAAACTGTTTGGGCAGTTGCTGTTGGGACCTTCTGGCGTCGGCTGGGCCCGCGGGCAAACTCAGGGGACTGAGGGGCACACGGCGGTGGCGGGGGGAGGCCCCAGGGGCAGAAGCCGGGTAAGGGGGGGCCCCCAGCACCGGAGATGAAGCCGAAGAGGAGGAAGAGGAGGAGGAGAGGGCCGGGGCACTGAGCGAGGGGTGACCCAGGGAGGTGGTGGGCAGTGCGTGGTGGGCCAAGGAGGAGGCAGGCAGTGAGGGGTGACTGTGGGAGCCCTGGAGCTGGGGCTGAGGACTGCTCAGGGAAGCCTGGAGGTTGGGATTGCTTAGGGAGGACTGCAAGGATGGGTGGCTGAGAGGTGAATGAAGTCCTGTAGGCACAGACAAAAAACCAACATTACTGATGGGAACTGGGCCCCTTTCTGCTCGGAATGGGTAGCAGTGACCAGACTATGAAAGTGGCAACACAATGTCCTCCCTACTCTGTCCCTGACAATCAAACTGGCATTGCCCACTTGGGGGTTGCTCTCCATCATCTTTTGAGGAAAAGCCACACTTACCAGTTCTCACTGGCAGACAACTGCAGTGAGGAAAACTGGGGGGAGACAGATGAAGGGTGGGGTGTGGGTAGTCACAGGAAAATCCTAGGTGCTTGAGCTTCCCACCCCTTTGTCCCTCCAGCTGGACAGCACCCCAGGGACACACAGCCAGGACAGCCACTCACCTGGCGCATCATAGCCCGGGCCCAGGGCCAGGCCCCCACTGATGCCCAAGTGGGTCATGGTGTGGGTCAGATTGGAGGTACTGCTGCCCCCACTCAGGCTGGGATAGGCTGTCTCCTCTGGGTCCAGGGGGGTGGGCAGTGGCGGGGGAAAGTGCAGGTTGGTGAGATCAGGTAGGGAGCCTCCCGTGTTCATGGCAGGTGGGAGGACAGGCACAGTGGCGGGCTGGTCAGGAGAAGGGAAGATGCTGGGAAAGGAGAAGATAATATGTAAATGGGGGCAGTGGTCAGCAAAGAGCAGAGCCCAGCACCGCACTGTTCCCTTTACTGCCCTCCCCACCTCAGCTGACCTCAGAGAATACTTACTTAATTCCAGGGACTTCACAGGACCGAGGTCGGGAGGAGGACGAGGACAGCTGAGGAGAGTGGGAAGAAGGTGGCAGATGAGGACAGAGCTCAGTGGAGAACCCTGAAGACCTGCTCCATGGAAAGAAGAGGGACAGTGGGCCATGCCTACCTTCTTAGCGTCCCATGGTTTCAACAAGTGCTTATCATCTAGCAAGTTCTCCTCAACAGCAGGGACTTGAAAGAGAAAGACTGGTGATGAGAAGGTTGGAAAAGGCAGTAAAGCAGGACAGGAGTCAGATGCAGGCAGAAGGGGGACCCCTGCCTGGCTCTGAACAAAGCCCCCAGCACCAGCTCAGAAATTCTCTGGCATTCAGTACCCCCACATACTGAATGCCGCGAGGAACACATACCTTTGGAGTCCATGTCACCATCCAGACAACCTGCAAAGGATGGAGTGGCTGTGTGTGGTGGAGTTGGCTGTAGTGCCCACCTGCCTACCTGCTTCAAACAAAAGTTCCGTGGCTTGACCTTACCCTGGGACATGCCTGCTTACCTCCACGGCGGCTCGGCAGGACGCTGGGGGGTGCAGGGCCTGGATAAGTGTCCTGAGGGCTGGGGTTCATAACGCTTGTGTGAAGGGCAGAGTCAGAGCTTGTCCTGTGAGAGGAACAGAGATGAGTTGGCACCCAAGACAGTCTTTCTGCTCCTCACGCCCTGCTCAGTCGGGGAAAACACTAGCTGGGCTGGGACAGGGTAGGGTGAGGGAACAGGGCCCCAGAAACTACAGATAAGGAGAGATGTGGCCTAAAGAAGGCAAGGGCCATCACCTGTTAAGTGCAGATGGTAGTCGAAACAACTGCCCCTTCTCTGCAGGGAAATTGCCCCAGGGCATTGTCCTGGGATGGAAAAACAAAGTCATGAGGAGGAAGGCTCATAAGGACCAGAAGACAGGTACTGGGGTGGGGGTGGGGGGGGGGAATGTGGGGCAGCCAAGAGGGCTGGGCACCCAGGATCATGCCTCTTTCTGATGCTTCTGATACCTGTGATCCGTGAACCCTCTCCACAAACAACCTAAGATCTGGAAATCCTCAACTTCTACCTGCCAGGACAAGCTGAATAGGAATCTTAGAGCCAAGCAAATGTGCTGGGTATGAATATTAGGGATAAGATGGACAGGGGAGGGGTTCAGAATCTGAGTGCACCCACTCTTGATAGGAGGCAGCCGCTTTCACCTGCCACCCTGCCCATCTCCCCTCCCCCTCAGTCACACACACACACACACACACACACACACACACCCAGCTACCATTGGTCCTGCTCTGACTGGACAGGGAGGCTTGGCCACCCGTGTCAACATGGCCAAGACTGGACTCTGACCCATTACTCCACCTACCCCCACCCCTCCCAGCCCTGCCATTGTGGGAGGAGGTACGGCTCAAAGCCTGGCCGAGCAGGCCCAGACCCAATTCCAGCTCCAGCCAGAGACAAGTCAGAGAGTGGGCAGGAGATCCTGCCTGCCCTGGACACTGACCTCCGCCAGCTGGATTCCGGGGGAGGAGATAAATAGGCAGGACTATAGGGAGAGCTGTCAATGTAAAGAGCACTAGTTAAGGGAAAAAGTGAGGAGGGGATGGGTGGAAGAGAGACCAGATAAGAGAAAAATAATGGAGGCAGCAGATGAGTTGTTTTAAGAAACAAACACCTTTTTTGTCCCTCCTCCTCTACATGGGCAAAAATAAGGGCAAAGAATGGAAGAGAAAAAAGGGAATCAGGCCTAATGGGAGTCAGAAAAAATAGATGAATGTCTAAGCAGCCTTTGGGGAAGACAGGTTGTTGCGATGGTCTCTGAATTGAAAGCCACAAACAGAAATGTGAGCAGGAGGGAAGCAAAACCCCTGTAGCATGAGTTGTCAGGGAGCCGCACATCTAGCAGTAAAGAGCAAGCTGAAGTAAAGAAGTCAGCACCAGCCAGAGATGGCGGGCACCATCACAGGAGGGACAGCTCCCTGCCACAGGAGCCAGAGCTGACACAAGGGCCAAACGGCACTTTCCAGGGAGACTGGGTAAAGAAGCTGCCGCAAGATGGGACTGGACAGCACCTCAAGCCCCTTTGCCCACCATGAGCTCCCGAGGAGCCCCACCCACCGCCCGCCAGACTGCACAGCCCCTTGGTGAAGGATATGTGGCGGGGGTAGCGGCGAAGTGGGGACACCATTCTTCGGGGGTCTCGCTGCACCCGTTCCACCAGCCCGTGGTGTCGAGTGCTCCGAGATGAATCCAGAGGGGAGTGGAGGGGGCTCTGCCAAAAGAGACAGGCGAGTCAACGGAAGAAGCCCCCTGAGAGCTGGCTCTCCACCCCTGACACCCCACAAGCCAGCGGCCACTCACCTGGAACTCGGCTAGGCCACAGCCAATCTGGTTCACGTTGGGCAGAGAGCCACCATAGTGGGAGCTCCTTGTGTACGCCAGCCGCAGTTTTTGGGCCTGTAACTGAGACATGGAGGACAGATGGGAATGTCAGGGAGGGTCCTGAGCACTGTTCCTGTAGCCACGTTTGCCATCCCCGTCTCCAGGACACGTTACTATTGCTGATGCTTTCAAGAGACCTGCCAGAAGAAAAGCCACTGCTGGGGAAAGATCCACTGAGACCCAGTACAAACAATCTGCCCGAGCTCTTCCGCAGGCTGCCCCCATTCGTGCTATCACTCATGCCAGGCATCGCCCTGCCCGGGCAACCCTAACACTCTACTCAGGGCCCGTACCAGTTGGCATCAGTCTAAACAGAGTTCCTGAGAGGCTGCCAGGAGCCCCCAGACTAGTCACATGGGTTAATTCCTGGGGCAGGGTGACTACTGGGCAACTCTGCTTTCCCTTCCAGATGCGTACAGGACTAATTGGAAGACAAGGGAAGGGTCACAGGTGGATGCCATAGAGCCACGACTGCCAGTCTCTTTCCTTCTTGCTCTGGAGGGTAGACACAGGCTGTTGCCCAGCCTCAGGAAGGCTACACAGAGCCTCCGAAAACAGAACAATTAAATGATGGCTCGTCTACCTGGAAAAACAGAGCTGAAACCAATAAGCATTCTTCTACCTAGTCCTAAAGCCCCTGAATTGGCAGGGGAGCCTGGAGAATGGGGGTGTGTGGTGGGGAGAAGCAGTAGTCTATGCCAGCCTGGCCCAGAGCAATCTCCTGGCCTCATCCTACTTTGGGGAGATGTGTCTGGCACTAGTGTAAGACACCACAACCCTCAGCCTGGCACAGTTTTAGTCTTCCTAAAGATCTCACGTCCCTCTGTGAGAGGTGAGCGTCTACTTCTGAGGCTCAGCTACTGCCACCAGCCAAACAAGGAGACCCAAGACAGCTGATCAGTGGTAAATTCTAAGAGCTTCCATGGCTAACGCTGTTGTGCATAGTCCAACATCAGAATTGACTCCCTGTCCTAAGAAATCAGTCCAGCGAGTTCAGTGGGCACCATGCTGACCTTTGGTCCACTTTAAGACCGCTACTAACATATATGATAACCCCAGTTTCTCAGTAGTATAGGTCCCACAGGCCATATCTGCCTCAGATGAGACCTCCCAGCTGGTCAGGTAACAGGCTGAACTCCAGGTCTCTAATCTCTAGTTTTAGGTCTCCAGGCACAGACCATGTATGCCCTAGATTTTTTATGTGCAGAAGAGAAGTTACCCAACAGGGGTAAGGTGAGTTGAAGGGGCCTTTTGACAGACTGAAGCACCACAAAGAAGGAAGGCCCAGCTTTTGAGCTTTTGTTTATACATACTAGCCCTAGATTCCACCATTCCTCCGCTGGAGTCACACTCCAGAGGGCATGGCCTTAAGCTGTCAGCTGGAGGTCAGCCTCTTGCCCACCTTCTTGTCTCTGCCCCACCTTGATCAAAAGCTCCTAAAGGGGAGCAGTCAACAGTTAGATCATGATTCTAGTAGCAGTTAGAGGAGATTATGTGCACACACACACACACACCATTTACTTCCCCATCTAACTTTCTCTGACTCCCCAAAACTAGGACACATGGTCTCTAGAGACTCAAAAAAGTAAAAAAGCACAAAAAAGACTAACAGAGGGAGACACACAGCCAAATACAACCAGAGTCCCAGTCACAGAAAGATTCAATCAAAGGCAGTCAGACCAGCAGAAAGAACTTTGAAATGTGGTATTCATGTTCGGCCATCCATCACGCTTTACATTCCTTCTAACTCCCCGCCAGGAGGGATCACTGCAATATCCTCACCTGCTGTTTTGAGAATAATGTGTCCCTAAATTAGGACTGCAAACCAGCTGGCAAGCTCCCACCCCACCTCTCCCTGACCTAGGGGTGGGGTAGGTAGCTTCAGAAGCAATTCTGCCAGGATGCCTTCTTTCTGGAACTGCGTAGGAATGAATATTTCCTCCCCATAGAAGACCCTCCTAGGCACCCCATAACTAACCCCCCAAACGGCCATCTCCCTAGAAAGTTCTGCAAAGCATCGGTTCCATATAACCTATCGCTTACTGGTTACCTACCCCCTTTCGAGATCCAAAGCCCTATCTCTCCTCCAAGACGTCCAGGGCAAACTACCAAGCACCAGTCTGTGAGCAGTGGACCTCACCTTCATTCACATCAGGAAACCACAAGAAGTATTTGAAAAAGGAAGCAAAGGGACGGGACGCAGGAGGGGACTTCCTGCCCCACTATACCCAGTTCAAACCACTCATGGGGCCCTTTCCCGGAGATACTAAGTGCCGAGAGTAGCACAACAACGCAGAGGGACCAGATAAGAGGAGATCACCAATTTAGAGAAGCCAGACTAGGGCAAGCAGGCCATCCCTCCGCCCCATAACGCAATATCGAAGATGCTAAGTCCCTGAGGAAACTCAATCAGAGATGCACAAGGACCACCCACCTCCTAACTCCGCAGGGTTTCGGGGACCATCTCCTCTCTGTGTCCATTCCTGCCACACTTACTCTGCGTTCCCAGTCGTTCCCAAACCCCCCAACCCCTCAGGACTTTCTACCTCCTCCCGCAAAATCCGTCTTCCTGCCCCCGGACCCTCCACCCGCGCCTCCCAGACGGCGGCGCCCGTTGCCCCTGCCGCGTTCCGCCTCTTTCGCTGCGGCTCCCGCCCCCGCCCCGCCTCTCGGCTCCCCGCTCTGGGACAGCTCTGCTCGGCTCCCGCTTCCCCGCGCGGCCCCTCACCCGGGTGGAGCCGATGTCCATCATCACCTCCTCGAAGGCCGCCGTCTCCTCGGCCTGACGCTGCTTCTGCAGCGCGATCTTCTCACTAAACTTACGCGGATTGGAAGCTGAGGCCGTGGCCGAACCGGGCCCGTTCGCTCCCGACGTCGCCATCTTCCTCCCCCGTCCCTCCCCGCCACCCTCCCAATACAAGCCACGGCCTCCGCCGCGGGCCCCGGCCCGGCTCTTCCAGCCGTAGCCGCCGCCGCCGCCTCAGCGAGCACCGCGAACCCGGCCCCAGCCTAGCCCTGACCTGCTGCGCGCGGGGGCCGCCGGGAATTGTAGTTTGTTTACGTGACTCTTTAACAGCCCCAGTCACGCAATACGAGAGAGGAAACGGACACCATTTCCCAGCAGCCCTGTTGACTCCGGGACCCGGGGATTTTGCTCCTCCTCCTCGGTTCCTCCCTGCGTGGGGCAAACTGGGAAAAGTAGTTCTACATTGGTCCAGAGCCTACAAATGCGAAGGGCGAGGGTTTAAAGAGAGTAAAGGAAAAGGGGAGGAAAAGGAAGGGGTGGAGACAGGGAGGGAAGCAGGAAGAGACAAGAGGAAAAATTTGGTCATTTTCTAGGAAAGGGACTAGAGCGGCCTGAACGAAGACAGTAAGACCAGGCATATTAAAACAGCTCTAAACATCTGAAACTCAGACTCTCTCGATTCCCCACGTGCCCACCCCTTTCCCAAGACAAATGAATCAGATACCGAACAGATGTATAGAAACTTGTTTTATTTGGGTAACATTTCCCAAAACAGGTCAGTTAGTAAAATAGATTCTAGAGAATATGGCCCTATGCATAGCCCTCCCCCCCAAAAAATAACCCTGGGGGTGAGCCTTCCCCTTCCCCCTTGGGATCCTCTGGTATATAAAAAAATTTTGGCAGCTCAGTGTTTATCATCTAGGCTTGGGGCACCATGTGCATGTTCAGTACTACTAGGGTGCAGCACAGTAGTGGGGGATGGTAACTCTGCCAACATGCCCCCAACCCCAGCTCAGCAAACATTTCTACCACAGCTCACCATCTGGGACCAAAAGTAGGAGCAAGCAGACCCCTTCCACTGATGTGCTGGCCAGGGCTCAGCACCTTCACTTGTGCTTTGAGAAAGAGGGACGGGATTTATTTGGCACTTTAAAAATAGAGTAGTGAGCAGGACTGGAGAAGCCAGAGGAGATACCAAAACTGGCAGAAAGAGGCCATTTGGCACTAGTTCCCTGGGAGAAGGGAAGAGGAAGATAGATATGAAAGTAGGAGCTAAGAAAAGTAGGAGGAGACCACTCCAAGTGAAAGAGGGCTGAAATGGGCTAGAACCAATAGGACTGCCAACTCAGCCTATGCCTTCTCTATGCCTCTATTCCCACAGCAGTTGGGTGCTCACCGCCAGCCTTACAAGCATCCACTTGGCCCTGTGTGTAGTGTCTGACCCCTGATACTAGCACTCACTGCCTTCCCCAATACTAATGTCCCTTGATCATATCTCTAGTGACTTGACCATCTTTTGTCCCTTGGGCCTGGGGGTCAGGCTCTTGTCTGCCCAATTTCCTCTCATTGGACAAAGAGTCTCAAAGGCCCCAAGCCTATCTCCCAGAGAACTTTTTGGCCCTCAATACCTCCCTTCCCCACTCCTTCCTTTTCCCCACACACTGGGAGAGGGGGAGGAAGGTCAAGGGCACGTGATACCCAACCTTCCCTGCCTGTCTTGGAGCTTTCTAGATTTGGATAAAGAGCAGGCCAGTGAGCAGGGCAAAGCCTGCTAGAAGCAGAATGACCTTAAGGATTCTCTGCTCAGAAGTGGCCAACTCTTGGGGCAGGATTTCCAGGAAGGTGATATAGAGGAAGGTGCCAGCCGCCATGCCCTCCAGCACAGACTGGGCGAGTTGGTGCAGTGGCCCAGCTGACTCTGCCAGAGCTGTACCCAGTCCAATGCCCAGGGGTGTCATGCACGAGAAGAGGATCCCACAGCCAGCCACCACCTGTGCTCGCAGGTGGCTCTGCAGCAGTCGCAGGGACAAGCTGACTGCTAGGATACCCTTATGGAGCAGCAAAGCCAGGCACAACTCCATGGCCCGAGTCTGGTCTCGCTGCAGCCCCACTGCCAGCCCTTCAAACACTGAATGCAGGGCCAACGAGAAAACCAACACACAGGCACGCAGGGCTGAGGGAGCTGATGAGGCTCCGCCTGCCTGTGGGACCCCCAGTCCATCATGCCAGTGCTGTGGCCCACCATTCACTGTTCCCAGCAGAGCCCTCGTCTCCTCTCGAGGTGGTGGTCCCGACTGTTCCTTGTAAGCCAGTGTGATCTGCTCCATCACCAGGACCAGGAAGAAGCCCATGGCCAGGATGAACTCTTGGAGAGGGAACTGGAGCTGTGGGCAGAGGGGACAGCATGGAGATCAGGAGTCAAGCCAAGAAGGGAGAGGAAGAGTCAGATGCAGGGTTTAGTCCCAGTTACACAGACCTGGGGTCTGACACAGACACAGAGCCACTCTCAGTTATGCAAAAACACAGAGTCACGTGGTGCCATAGACTGAGAGTGATACATGGCCGGACAGATTATGCTGTCACTCCCAGTGTGACATGGAAACCGTGGTTTCTCAGTTTGGGTGCTATTCACATTTTGGATTGGACAGTCTTTGTTGTAGAGGGCTGCCCTGTGCCCTGTTGAATGTTTAGCAGCATCCTTAGCCTATACTCATTAGATGCTAGTAGCAAGGCAAGCCCTCCCTCCCTGAGTTGGGACAACGAAAAATATTTCATTACTGAATGTTTCCTGGGGGGTGGGGGGGGGTGGATTGGAGAGTTGAAAGTCACTGATGTAGAAAAGTGTGACAAGTAGGCCACACCCTGGCCCTCTTTCCCAAGTGCTCACACGCTAAGCCCCACACTGTCACAGGGACAATCAGGCTTACACACAGTCACACAGAGACACAGGTCACTCAGTCACAGACATAAACGGTTACAGTCAGTGTTACTTCCTCAGTTCCTCCAACTGTCTCAGTTTTTCCAATAAGACTGCTCTGTGCCTTGGACATGATCTTCCCCATATCCTTCTTCCTTAGGCTATAGGAACACCAGGGCCCTGGAAACTGACTCCTACCCATCCCAGGCCTGTAGGGACCTCTATCTCCAACCCTTCAGGAAAGTGCTGAGAGGGTAAGGATGATTCTTGGAGTGCTATTATTTTCCTGGAGGCTGGAACTAGAGACACCCACAAAGTAGATCATGCACCTGGTAATAAGGTTCCTCACACTGTCTCAAAGGGTACACAGAGGTCACATAAGGACTGAGGGGGTAAGAACCCACAGCATCGTGCTGCTCTGTGACTAAAAATCACAGCTCATGACGTCACAGGCCAAGAGTCTTCGTACAGTCATAGAGTGACACACGAACAGATCCATACAAACCACCTCTCCTGGAGGTACATGACTGAACACCCACATACACAGGGTCACATGCAGATGACCAGGGCTCACCGTCACGTTCAGGGCCGCCAGGGCCTCATCTATAGCACTCAGGTAGTCAGGCAGCAGGTCCAAGAGACATGTGGCCAGAAAGACACCGCCCGCAAAGCAGCTTACAAGGCTCAGGGCTTTTTGGCGGGAGGCTGGGCAGGAGTGGAACACAGAGAGGAATGGGTAAATGAACCCTCTTTAGGCCCCACTACCCAATCAAAGCAACAGTCACTCTTGCTGACCCCCCATAGGTCCACTTCCTTAACACCAGGGCCTTCCCTAAGCCAAGCATCCATGGAACAGGGGAAAGGAGGGGCTTACCTGAGGCTTCAGGGTTAGCTCCCGGCCGCCGCAACACACAGACGGGCACTAGACTGCAGATGAGAGTGAGGACCAGCAACAGCACCAGGGCCCCCAACTTCACCTCCAGTCCCATGGGCACTGGGGCCTCTGAGGCTGCAGCCTCAGGGCGCCACACCAGGAGCTCTGGCTCTCCCCAGGGCCCCATGGTGGCTGTGGTAGCTCCAATGACTCTCAGACCTAGGAAGCCAGAGTGAGTGGGGAAGTGGAAATATTTCACAAGGGAATATGGGATGAAGAGAAAGGGAAGGATGGCCTGAATGCAGCTCCCTCATCCCAGCCACTTTCTGATCTTCCCTATCCCAGTGTGACTCATCCACTTCTGACCTGAGGCTATTCCTCTTTCCCCTATTTGATCCCTTTCAAGTGACTTATTCAGGGACCTAGCAAGGGGGAAACTGAGGTATGGGGGCTGTGTGAATACCTCATTACTCTTTCACATGAGGCCACAAAACTAGGGAGCTGGGCTCCTTTAAGCAAAGTAGATGCCAGCCGCCCTCTCCAGGAAGGAACGGATGAAGCGAAAGGGGTTCAAGAAGAGATGTCAAGGATAGCTTCGTGGACCACCTGAAGAGGGCGAGCTGGGGTGCTTTCCCGCTCCCATTTCCCCAGCGCCATCCCTCTGAAAGCAGAGAGCGACTGTTGCAAGCCACGGGCTGGGATGTCGGGACAGAAGGCCAAAGAGGGGTCCTAGGAGTCCTGGGTCCCGGAACGGGCTGACCCAACAACTGAGGGCGGTGTCTGGAAGTCCGGGCTCTGGGAGGCGGGGTCTGAGGCCACCACAGTGCCGGGAAGCTGAAGAAGAATGCGAGAGCTGGGACTCTGGCTCGTAGGCTCGGGGAGGTCTGGGTGGCCGACCCCGATCCCGCTTTCTGGGAGCCAGCACTCACCTCTGGAGGGTCTCACTACAAGGCATCCGCTCGGTTCCGGCCTCGAGTCGGGAATTCCCGCCCCCTCCCCTTCGTTTCCCCCTCCCCCCGCGTCCACCGCGTACGGGCCCCCAGTGGCCAATGACAGCGCCTAGAGGGCGGGGCCAGACTGGGAGTGACGTGAGCTAGGAGCAATCAGAGGTCGGCAGCCAGAGTCCAACGGAGGCGTGGGCGATCTCGGGGAGTGTGGTGCTGCGGGTGGGGGGCCGAGCAAGGGAAAGGAATTCAGAGAGTATCTAGAGTCTGAGAGCCTTGGTCTCTGTGGTGGTCAGACCCGTGGACCTGACTGGTCTACAAAGGCTTCGGTCCTTTGAAGATTCTAAAAGAGAAAGCTAGATGCTTCTCCGCGGGCAAAGATGATGCTCCATACCCCACCCCCGCATTCCCAAGTCTTCCACCTCCCTCATCTCTGAGGATATCTGCCTGGTCTTGAGCCAGTCTTCTTATCTCTTTTAGAAGATTCCAAGATCCCCTTCTGGGCACCAGGGCGCCAAAGGGAAAGCATTCCATTCCTTAGATTGACTGACTTGCTTGATTTCCCTTGCTAGCACCCACAAGAAAGAAAAAAGGACAAGAATTGAAAGCGGGGGCTAGCAAAGGGAGAGTATTTCTTGAAGTACCTATGGTGGGAGCTGACTTGTGTGCAGCCTTCTGCCTTCAAATGGGTAAAGTGGTGGGACCCCTCTCAGGAGTTGCTGAAACCCCACTTGGTGAGGAGCTTCTCTCCGCACACCCCAGCTTATCCTCACCATGCCTCAGGGCAGCTGGCCAGGATTCTCTCCAATCTCGCGTGGACCTCTCTGTCTTCTCTCCCTCCAGCTGCATCAGCCTCTTTTCTGTTTTCTGTTCCTTGAATGAACCAAGTCATTCAAACCTTGGTTCAGCTACTTACAAAGTATAAATGAAAAACGTTGCTTGCCGTATGAGTAAACAAAGGTTATTGAAGCCATCAAGCCACTACAGCTGCGTGGTGAGCCCAGAGGGAACTCAAAATGGAGAGGAATGGGCTTCCCGGCTGCCAAGCCGAGTCACTGCAGCCACATCCATAAAATAACTCCTGAGAGGACTCAGGATAGGAAAGAACAGGATAGTGGCCCCAGATAGCTAAGGTGCAAATCAAAGTAATAATTTCAATGAGTGCAAACTGTTAATGTCTTTCCATACATAGAAAAGTGCTAAATTCATTAACTTGAGATATCTGGTTTTCTTTAATTAATAGTAATCTTTTGATGTTCTGAATTCCTGGTCTTTGTTGCAAAAACTATGTATCCTGATTCCTCCCTTATCTTTTTGGAGTTGTCCCTCAGAGTTATCTGAGAGACTGCCTCCTGGGCCTCAAGGCCTCAGAAAGACCACCAAATAAAACATAATTCTGAGCTTTTAGATAGTGCAATTTTTTTAGTCAATGAGAGTAATCTTGAGAAAATCGCTTAACTTTCCTCTGCCAGCTGTTAATTGCTATGAGAATGATATGAGTAACATGAAAATGCCTGACCATATATCAGTTACTCAATAACGATTAGATCCTATTCTTCTCTTTACCTTCAACCTATTTAAATTTTGACAGGAAGAATACCCATTTGAATTCTGAATCCACATCCCAAGTTTTTGTGCTTTATTTTTATTTGTTATGATTTAAAATTCTTTATTGGAATATAGTTGATTTACAATGTTGTGTTTGTCTCAGGTGTACAGCAAAAAAGTCAATTATACATATGTCCACTCTTTTTTTGATTTTTTTCCCCATATAGGCCACTACAGAGCACTGAGTAGATTTCCCTGTGCTATACAGAAGGTCCTGGTTAGTTATCTATTTTATTATTTATTTTTTGGCCATACCTTGAGACATGTGGGATCTTAGTTCCCTATCCACAGAGCGAACCTGTGCCCTCTTCATTGGAAAGCAGAGTCTTAACTACTGGACCACTAGGGAAGTTCCAGTTATCTATTTTATACAGAGTAGTATGTATGTGTCAATCCCAATCTTCCAATTTACTCCTCCCCCTCCCTTATGCCCTAGAAATGGTGAATTTGTTTTCTACATCCGTAACTCTATTTCTGTTTTGTAGATAAGTTCATTTGTACCTTTTTTTTAGATTCCATATGTAAGTGATATGATATTTGTATTTGACTTACTTCATTCAGTATGAAAACCTCAAAGTCCATCCATGTTCCTGCAAATGGCATTAATTTTCTTTTTTAGGGTTAAGTAATATTCCATTGTATATATGTACCACATCTTCTTTATCCTTTCCTCTGTTGATGGGTATTTAGGTTGCTTCCATGTCCTGGCTGTAGTAAATACTGCTGCAATGAACATTTGGGTGCATGTATCTTTTTAAAATTATGGTTTTCTCCAGATATATGCCCCAAATTTGTGTGCTTTATTCACTGAACTATTCCTTATCTGAAGTACTATTGGGAGGCAGATGAAAATCATACCTAATCAGTATAGCTCCATTTAAAAAAAAATTTTTTTGGCCGTGCCCAAATGCATGTTGGATTGTAGCTCCCCAACCAGGGAATGAACCTGAACTGCCTGCATTGGGAGCAAGAAGTCTCAACCCCTGGACTGCCAGGGAAGTCCCCATTATTTTATTCAAAGAGAATTCCTGGGTCATCAGTCTCTAGGAGAAGGCAAAATGTCCCGACTTTTGGTATTATTACACTTGTGTCATGTTATCTGTCTCCTCTTTGGTAAAATTGTAAGTTACACAAATGCAGAACACATACTGCATACTATTACTGGTAACTATATGCAAAATATAAGTCAAACTCCCAAACCAAATCCGAGTATTTTAACCTTTTGCAGTTTTCTAGACCCTTGTCCCTCCATTAGTTAACCTGAGAGTGTGTACACGTAACTGCTGTTCTTTATCAGTAGCATAATGCATGGATTATGGATTTGGACAACCCACAATTGCACGACTTTCCAAAGTCAAAGCGCTGTCTGGTTATTTACTCACGGCCTAGAGCTTCGGAGTCATGTGGCAAGTGAAACCAAACCAAGCCTCGGCCCACATTCCCGGAACTTCCCCTCACCCCACCCCCTTCCCTACTGTAAGTCTTCTGGCTCTTACTCTCCTTCTCGTGCAGCGGAACCAAATCCCTGCCAGACAAATAAATGCTCTGGCTGCACCCTGACAGCCAATTCCCACCAGTTACGGCGGAGCCTGCCTCCAGACGGCAATCCCTTGGGCTCAAGGCACAGCCCCTCTTTAGCTTCCAATCAGACTCAACTGGGGGAAGAGCGCCATGGAGTGGGGGAGGGGATGCCTCTGTCAGTCTTCAGTCTTCGGCAGTCCTATGGACACCTCTCCTGTTTTCAGCCCCGCCGTAGTCTTCCCGTCTATAAAACTGACGGCTAGAGAACAGGCACCAAGCGTCCTGTGCTCCATTCACAACCATCTCTAGCCTTCTCTGAGGAGCCATCAAACCCTCAGGAAGATCTGCTGTCACTAGGAGAAACTGAGGCAGAAGGGGCCAGGCTGTCTTAAGTCCGGTTTGTGGACGCTCAGCCTCTAAACCCCTGCTCCAGATACTGCTCCTCTGTCGTGGCTCTTGGCTGGGTACAACCCACTTCTGTAGTGTAAGGCTGGGGGCGGGGTTTGGCTAGGCAGGTCCAGGATGCGAGATCCTGGAAGAAAGAAAAGGTGTACTGTTTGGGGCCATCAACGAGCTAGGCTGGCTTGGCAGGGCTGAGCTCTTCAAAACAGGTAATACTCAGGGGGGTGCCTGTTGGTCTGAACCAGAGAGATAAGGCCAAAGGCGAGATAGCTGGGGTGACATTTGAGGGGGCTGCGCAGGGGAGAAAGGGGTATAATGGAAAAGGGAGAGGAGCTCAGAAACCGTGGGGTGGGGGAGAGGGGGAGCCCTCATTCTCCTTCTGCAACTGCCCCCCCCGCCCATGCCTCCTAGCAGAACCATGGATTTCAGAACCCCTGACCTGTTGGACGTGTGCCTGGAACCTCCAGAAGATGTCTTCTCAACAGGATCTTTCCTGGAGCTGGGACTCCATGGTCCACCCTCAGAGGTTCCAGTGACTAGGCTACAGGAACAGGGGCTGCAAGGCTGGGAGTGCAGTGGGGGCCATGGCTGTGTGAGTGTGATGAATGGAAATGGCTATGGGTTGAGACAACTCTTGTGATAAGAAGTGCAAGAGGCTTCAGTTTCCACTTAGAAGTCTGAAGACAGAGCCCCTAAAATAGACATGAGCTGTAACTACCCTCATGTCCAAGGACAGAAGGGACTGAAACTGATCTGGTTTTGACATTAATAGGACTTCCAGAATTCTTCCCTATACACATTCACACCCTCTTCTACTGTAGGGTCTTCAAGAGAGTGAGCCTGAAGATTTCCTGAAACTCTTCATTGACCCCAATCAAGTCTACTGCTCAGAAGCATCTCCCGGCAGTGACAGTGGAATCTCTGAGGATCCTGGCCATCCAGACAGTCCACCTGCCCCCAAGCCACCCAGTTCCCCTGCCCTCTATGAGGTTGTCTATGAGACAGGGACCCTGGAGAGGATGCAGGGGGAAGCCGGGCCTGCTGTAGGGCTCATCTCCATCCAACTAGGTCAGTGTTCTTTGTGGGGAAGGGACACTGGCCCTCCAGGTCCAGTCCTAACCCTGGAGTTAAGGGGGTTTCCCCAACCTATGCCACTACCCAGAGCCTGTGGCCATCCACATCCTTTCTCCCAACCACTTATGTCTCCCTCAGATCAGTGGAGCCCACCATTTATGGTGCCTGAGGCCTGTGTGGTCAGTGAGCTGCCTCCTGATGCTCACATCCTGCCCACAGCAGCTACTGTAAACTCCGTGCCTCCTGCAGCCCTGGTGAGTCTTGGGGAGTCAACTGGACTCAGTACCCTCTGATACACAGAACTGGGGAAAAGGGGTTGAGGGAGGGGAAAACTGATGCTGAACACTGTCTTTGCCCCAGTTTTTGTGGCATTGGGCCTGAATGCCAGAGAGATGTGAGCAACTATAAGAGCAGCAATGGACAAGAGAGACAGAAGCCCTTGAGGTTAAGGGGGTAATGTTTCAGTTAAGGAGAGGGTGGGGTGAGGGAATCCAAGGATAGGGCTCAGGAGAAAGCCTGGTCCTGTGTGCATTGTCTGCTCAGTTAGGGCCACTGTCTCAGCCTTGAGTCAGGATGTGGAAATGGGATAGGCTACCTGAGAATCCAACTGGTTACTGGGCACAGGGTGTAGAAGCAAGTGCAATTAGTTTTTACTGGAACAACAGTTCAGCAGTCACCCACTGCCCATAGTTATAGCACAGGGGTGTGACACATCACATACCTTCCCAAGGGGAGCTGGGCTGGTTCCTTGCAGTGAGGATGAAGAGGGGGCCTTGCCCAGGTCACTGTTCCTCCCTTTATCTTGAAAAGAACTCTTGTGTGCAAAAGGCAGGGAGTAAGTTCTAGCCTCCCTGCAAATCTGTAATTGAAGCTGAGACCAGAAGCCAAGCCAAGCATCTTAGAATCTTGGGCTGAGGAATCTTAAAAAGCCTGAGGCATCTAAACTTGTGTGTGCATCAAAAACACTAGGGCATTTGTAATGGATTGCCAGGGAAGTCCTGGTTTGGTTTTATTTATTTTTGGCTGTGTTAGGTCTTCATTGCTGTGCAGGCTTTTCTCTAGTTGTGAGGAGTGAGGGCTACTCTCTAGTTGTGGTGAGCGGGTTTCTCATTGTGGTAGCTTCTCTTGTGGGACACAGGTTTGAGGGCATATGGGCTCTTCCCAGATCAGACACTGAACCCATGTCTCCTGCATTGGCAGGCAGATTCTTTACCACTGAGCTACCAGGGAAGCCCTGGTATTGTTTTTAAGATAAAATCTTCTAGGGGAATTCCCTGGCAATCCAGTGGTTAGGACTCAGGGCTTCCACTGCAGGCGGTATGGAATCGATCACTGGTTGGGAACTAAGAGGCTGCAAGCTACATGGCACAGCCAAGAAAATAATAAATAAATACCCTCTAGGCTTCATCTTCAGAGATTTTGATTAGGTGGTTTGGGAGGGACACCCCTCTAATATAGCACCAAACAGTATCAGAAGCAAGATAGGAACATCAGAAAAAGTCAGAGGTAGAGTGGTTTAGCTAAAAAAAGTCAAAGATCATCAGAAGGCAAAAAGCAATTTCCTTTTGAGTCACAAAGTGAAGTATCAATCTTTCAAAAAGGAGTATTAGTTAGAAAAGTAAGCTACCCAGTTGATGGGCTCACATTAACCAGATAACATCTACCCTCCCCACATACTCTGTTCAGTCTGGTTGCCTCTGGGGCATTCTTTGAGAGGGAATAGAACTTCAGTCTGAGAAGTAGGGCTCAGACTCCAGGGGAGAATGAGCCAGCACCCCAGGGATCTCCTTGTGGCTGACAGTCAACAGTAATACTGCCGAACTGAAGTTAATGGCTGAAAATGAATCATCTGTCTGCCATAAAATTAAGCAGACTCTACCTTAGTGAGTTACTCCCCCTCCTCTCCAGATACTCCTAAGGTCTACAGAAACGTGCATCAGAATAGGTCCTCTCTAGCCTGGTCAGACTGCCAAGGGCCTAAGTCTGTGGACAAAAAATAGAACAAAACCGCCTCCTCTTTCCCTAGTCAGCCTCAGGGAGTCCCTGTGGCTGAACTGAGAGTTTGTCTGAATTAAGGTCCCTGCCCCTCATTTCATTTCATGGTTTGTTATTCCTCAGAGCAAACAGGACACACTCCCCAGGAGGCATGCGAGGGGAACAGTCTTGAGGCTGGGATGACCCTCTCTCCATTCTCATCTTCTCTCACGCCCCAGCAGCTGCCCTGTCAGACCTTGTTCCTGACAGAAGAGGAGAAGCGGCTGCTGGGACAGGAAGGCGTTTCCCTACCCTCTCACCTGCCCCTCACCAAGGTAAGATGCTTCCCAAAGGGCATCCCAGCACTGCGGCCCTGTCAGGGCCTCTGAGGAGCCAGGAGAGCAGGACAAAGTGGAGGGGCTGGGGAGGCTGAGGGCCCAGGACTGACACACCCTGGGCCTCCAGGCAGAGGAGAGGGTTCTCAAGAGGGTCAGAAGGAAAAGCCGTGACAGGCAGTCAGCTCAGGACAGCCGGCGGCATTTCCCTACCCTCTCACCGGCCGTCACCAAGGTAACAGGCTTCCCCAAAGGGTATCCCAAATACTGCAGTCCTATCAGGGCCTCTGAGGAGCCAGGAGAGCAGGACAAAGTTGAGGAGCCGGGGAAGGCTAAGGGCCCAGGACTGACACACCCTGGGCCTCCAGGCAGAGGAGAGGGTTCTCAAGAAGGTCAGAAGGAAAATCCGTAACAAGCAGTCAGCTCAGGACAGCCGGCGGCGGAAAAAAGAGTACATTGATGGCCTAGAGAGCAGGTATGTTTGAATTCACATTTCTTTGCTTCACGCCTGGGCCCCTGTCTTTACCAAGGCTGGTGAGGTCAGGCATGCACATGATTACCAAGCCTTACCTTTCCGCCCTCCCTAGGGTGGCTGCCTGTGCTGCACAGAACCAGGAACTACAGAAAAAAGTCCAGGAGCTAGAGAGGCACAACATGTGAGTGAAAACAGTCTGCGTGTTGGGGGAAGTGTGCTGCACACATTCTTGGGCCCTGGTTCCCAAGAGATCGAACTCTTCATTCCTTGTTTCCCAGCTCCCTGGTGACTCAGCTCCGCCAGCTGCAGATGCTTATTGTTCAAACCTCCAACAAAGCTGCCCAGACTAGCACTTGTGTTCTGGTACCACTGATCTATTTCCCATCTCCCCCCCTCACCTCCTCCACCTTCTGCCACATTTCCATCCCTATGCTCACTTCCTAGCCAGACCTATCGTCCCATCTTTGATGACCCCAACTGCCCCCTAGTCACTCTGCCCTCTGCTCCCTTCCTTGATGGTCCCCACAGCCCAAGTGTCCTCTTGCTTCTTCCCAGATCCTTCTGTTTTCCTTGGCTCTCATCATCTTGCCCAGCTTCAGCCCCTTTCAGGGCCTGCCAGAAGCCAGGCCTGAGGATTACCAGCCTCATGGAGGTGAGAGGCAAGGGCAAGAAGGAACTGTTTTCTGGGTAGTCAAGAAGTGGGAAGGAGGCCCTGTCCTCTCTAGGATCCCTGACCAAGGGAGGGAGCATTATTCTACTCCCCTTTTTCCTTCACTCCACAGTGATTTCCAGAAACATCCTTACTCACTGGGACATGACAGAGAATCCTGAATACGCAGTGGTAGAGTCCAGACTGGAGGGGCCACCTGGGGCCAAGGGTGCAAACAGCTCAACAAGGACACTGCTCGAGAAGGTGGGAAGGAGGGCAGGCCCCAGCAGGCACATCCGAGCTGTGCTGCGTGCAGATGAAATGTGAGCTATAACACTTCTTGGCTCACTTCCCAATCACAATAAGGAAGCCAGGGCTCTGCTACCGCTCTGCCTCCTCCTGGGGTTCCCACTCAGGGCTCTCTGGCCTCAGGGGTCCGAATCCCATAAGGATGCCCTTGATGTCTGTATCCCATGGCTTAGTTGGTCTATGTCACGGGGAAGCTCAAATAGTTTCATCATGTATCTGTGATTTTATTTCTTCGAGGACAGGGTTAAAGGGAAACTAATGTTTTGGCTAAGAAATAAACTTTTTTTGGTAAAACTATATGCTGACAGTTTTAAGTAAGTAGTGGAAGAGGAGGAAGATAGGTACCTGGTAAACTGGGGCCTAAAATCACTACCCCCTTTCCCTCTCTATCCCCCCATGACTTCCTGCCCCAAACCAAATTATAGATAGGGAAGGAAATGATTTTACTCTTTTTATTCTGCTCATTAATTATTTAGATGGAGGAAAGGGGGTGCTACCGCAAGGTTCCAGAGAACCAGGGGCGCAAGTCAGTTTATTCTACCTTCTGTTTGAGGCAGGGTTTCTAAGACCCAGGTGAAAGGAGAGAAAGTAGCTATATGGACTCAATTTGCTTCCGGACCTTTTCCAAAGCCTTTCTGTCCAGTTGTCGCTGACGAACGATGACAAGGCAAGCAAAGACCAAGGCCAGACCTATGACAGTCCCTTCAAATTTCCAGAATAAGCGTTGTTCCATCAGAGCTGAGCGGCAGCTGAGGGCGAGAAGAAACAGTTATCCCCAGAAAACATCAGAGTGCCTCCCCTCTGCTTCTTCCTAACGAAGGTGTCTCCGTGGCGAAGAGAGGAAGCCAAAGTCAGCCTTCTAATGTGTTTACAGTATATTAATCCCCCTAAAATATTTAATTTTTAGTGAGATAAACAGAGCTGGTACTAACCAATTTTACTGATAAGAAAACATGGGAGTAGAGCTGGGACTTGGGTTCAAGTAATTTGGCTCCAAATCCCCTCCCCTTTCCAATATGCCATGCTACCTCCAGAGGAAAAGGAAGAGGCAGGAGTATTTACCTAAAGTCATGGGAGGAAGTGATCTAGGAGGATTCAAGAAGAGAAACAGCACTTACCTTTTGAACTCACTCCTCTGAGATGAGCTGCATGTTATTTTCTCCACATATCCTGTGGAACCACACTCAGGGGTGGTTTTCTGCCCGGAGGAAAGCATCACAGCACATGTTAGGAAGGGGCAGCAAGAGAAGCAGGGCACCATGAGTGGGTGTCCAAGTGCTATGGCTTGGGGCTGGTAGGCAACAGAGAACTAAGGAGGAGTTCTCCTGGGTAGTGACGGGGTGGTGTTTACATGACCAGGAGTATGTGTCAGTAAGAACCCTTCAGGCTCAACAGCCTAGGAAAGGCAAGGGCAGGTTCTGGAGCCTACTAGATTAAAATTGAGCAGACCACGGTTATTAGCTGAACACTGCCATTAACTTCGAAAGAAACAGGCACAATTTCAGGAGGAAGACAAGTTCAGATTTGGACTTACACTGAGACTTCAAGGAAAAAGATGAAAAGACAACGCAAAGGCACACCTTAGACAATCACATCGTCCCAGTCTGATTCAATGTGAGAAAAAAGGGAGAGAAAACAGATACTCACAGCCTGGAAATTAGAGCATGGAGCACACTCTTCTGCCACCACAAACTCTTCCACCAGCCAGCACGGCAAATTTGAGGTGCTCACTAGAGAGAAAGAGAAATGCAAGCCTCAGACTTCCTTCCGAAAATATTTCTCCCCTAAATTCTGCCCATCAACTTCCCAGCACAGTTGAATGCCCTCGTCCCACGTAGTACCGCCCTTTCCCACCTCATCTCTTGGAATATACGAGGATGTCAAAACAAAATTATAGGAGAGACGAGTTCCAGACCATCACCCACCTGACAGCTTCTCTTCCCGCACGGGAGCCTCTGCTTGGCTGCAGCGGAGGGGGGAAGGGGCAAGAGTCAGAAGCCAAGAAACAGGGAACCCAGCCCCCCACCTCCGCGGTCCTGGGACAAGGGGAACGGGGACGATACGATACGCTACGATCCTCTCATCCCCTCCTTTTCCCTGCCCTCAGCCCCTCCTTACCAGAGCCTTAAAGTGAAAGCGCAGAGCAACCAGCAGAGGTGGTGGCCCTGGGGGAGGCCACGCCTCCCCGCGCCCGCAGGCATGGAGTGCTGTGTCGCACCTATCGGGACAGAGGGACCTGCCTCACTGGCCTCGTGCCTCGGTCGGAACGCAGAGTCCGCGCTTACACGGCAGTCCTCCGAAGGGTTCCAACTCAGGGTTGCGAAATGCTGGAGTTGCCTATCAGATTAAAGGCTCTGTCAGTACGCCCCCATGGCCACGGCGAGAAAAGGCAACACGCATTTGTTGAGCTTCCTTCTTCGACCGATACGGTCCTGACGAAAGGCCGAGGAGGCGTACGGCCCTAGCATTCCCTCTGCTCCGCTTCCGCTCCCGGTGCGGCCATGTTGCGCGCGGAGGATCCTGGGCGCGGGCCCGTTTCCAGAGCTAGGCCAGTGATGGGAGGTGGAGGCCCGCTGCTGGCTTGACGGGCCTCGTACTCTTCCGCCCGCTGCTCCCTGGGAGTTGGATCTCCCTGCACTCGTGCGGCGCGTTGCGACCCTTTGGCTTGGCCCACCGTTGCATTCTGGTCTTGGTAGTTTTTTGTGGGAACGGAGAAAATGGCGGCTGTCAGACTATCGTGCGTTGCTGTAGCTCCCTGGGCTGTCACCTGTTTGCCCCTGTGGGCAACGGCGAGACATGAAAAGGAACGATACTTCGCCCTCTCAGGACGTTCCTCTCTCCTTAAAACCCAAGGACTCACAATTAAGCATCCGATTTTCTGACTCTCCTCCCCATTCCCATTTTGAGCGATGATCAAGGGGAGAAGCTGGGTTGGCGTTCCAGAGATGAAGGCAAAACTGTTACTTTCTCCTCCCTCAAGGGGCAGCAATATCCGAAACTTTGTGAATGTGAAGGCTTCCCCTGTCTCTGGGCTCCCACTCAGTTGTACTCAGATGGGACCTTGTTGTTGTTGTTTAGTCGCTAAGTCGTATCCGACTCTTTGCGACCCCATGTAGCCCACCAGGCTACATGTCCATGGGATTGAAAGACGCAAAGGAAATATTCATTAAAATACTTTGTTCTCTTCTATTGCCTCACATTTCTATCATACTTTTTGAATTTAAGGTTTAGCTCATTTTGATTCTCTTCTGTAATCCTGAGGAGTCAGTTGGTATTGTCCCTGTTTAATGAATAAGCTCAGTCTGTTACTTGTCCAAGATCATACAGCTAGTAGGAGAGCTGAGACCTAAGCCCAGACTTTTAACTCCCAGACCACAGATTTGTGCCTGTTTTCTATCCCGGTGAAGTCAAACCTTGGCAGAATGTGGGTCGGGAAGAATCCCTGGGTCAGGAAGGTCCCCTGGAGAAGGAAATGGCAACCTATGCCAATGTTCTTGCTTGGAGAATTCCATGGACAGAGAAGGCTGGTGGGCTACAGTCCATGGGGTCACAAAGAGTCAGACATGACTGTGCAACTAACACTTTCAAGTAAATCTAGGCCCTATTAATAATCTGTATCTTGCCTCTCAAGATCAAAGAAATTATTCCCATACTTTTTCCTGGTTAATTCTGCTCCAGACTCTCCTCCCTCAAGAAGTCTTTCTAGCCTAAAGGCCACAGTTCCTCTCCCCCACAGCCATAAGGGCTAGAGCACTTTTGGAAATTAACATTATGTGTGATGTGGACTCTTATGATGGTCCAATGAATAAGAATCCACCTGCCAATGCAGGGGACATGGGTTCAATCCCTGATCCTGGAAGATCCACATGCCTCAGGGCAACTAATCCCGTGAGCCACAACTACCAAGACCACACTGCAACTACTGAAGCCCAAGTGCTCTAAAGCCTGCATGCTGCAACTGCTGAATCTGTGGGCCTGGACCTGTGCTCCTCCACAAGAGAAACCACCTCAATGAGAAGCCTGTGCTCCACAACGAAGAGTAGCCTCCACCTGCCACAACTAGAGAAAGCCTGCGCACAACGAAGACAGCACAGCTAAAAAAACCAACAGTATATCTGGTGCTATGTCCCATAAATTCTGTCTTCCCGTCAGACTGAAATCTGACTGCTTACGGACAAGAACTAACAGACTGGAAAGTTCATTGGGTGGGAGATGAGAAACCAACAGCCTGGTGAGGGCTGAGTTTTAATTTTGCTGGTAACTGTTAATTTGTCCCTTTAGGTTACTGTTTGTCTGTGTATAATTTGTCAATAGTTGTATGTAATAGAAAGTAGGGCATGGGGTTTTTTTACCCCTCAGTATCTTTTAGCTATGGTAAGTTTTGGTCAAAACACAGTATTGTGTTACTCCTTACTCAGTCCCATTAGTTGTACCAAGCAACTGAATAGGGTTCCCTATGCTGAAACTGGATTTTAAAATATCCACTCTGGGGTATGACAAAGAGGCCAGTCAGTCTTCTTCCCGGGACTCACAAAATGCAAGTCTTTTCTCATGTCTTAAGTGAATTAAACTAGCTGGGGTCCAGTACAGAATTCAAACATAAGCCACAGATAATAAGGATTATTACCCCACTGAAGCTTGGATACTTTCATACCAAATAATTTTCTGAGTCCTTCTCTTGGCACTGTCTTACTCTTTTTTTCTGAGTCTTGTCTTTTACCAGCAGAAACAGCAGCACACAAAAAGACTTTGCTGATGACTCCAGGGTTGTGCTATCCACTTCTACACCGTAGGCTTGGGGATGTTTTAAATGCCTTGAACATCGATCATATCTTTGAGTAAAACTTATAGTGATACTTTTGTCTAAGCCAAATCTGACATTCTCATCATCTTGGTAAAAGATCAAGTCTGTGAGATAATTTTGCTGTTTAAAAAAATACTGTGAATTCATTGCAGCATTATTTACAATAGCTAGAACATGGAAGCAACCTAGATGTCCATGGACAGATGAATGGATAAAGAAGCTGTGGTACATATATACAATGGAATATTACTTAGTCATAAAAGGAACACTTTTGAGTCAGTTCTATGAGGTGGCTGAACCTAGAGCCTATTGTACAGAGTGAAGTAAGTCAGAAAGATAAAAATGCCATATACTAACACATATATATGGAATCTAGAAAGACGGTACTGATGAAATTATTTGCAGGGCAGCAATAGAGACACAGACATAGGAAACAGACATATACACACAGTGGGGTGGGGGCGGGGGGTAGTGCAGGGAGGAAGGTAGGAAAGAGAGGGTGGGATATACGGAGAGAGTAACATGGAAACTTACATTACCATATGTAAAATAGATAGCCAACGGGAATTTGCTGTATGGCTCAGGGATCTCAGACTAGGGCTCTGTAACAACCTAGAGGGGTGGGATGGGGAGGGAGATGGGAGGGTGGTTCAAGAGGGAGGGGACACATGTATACCTATGGCTGATTCATGCTGATGTTTGGCAGAAACCAACACAATTCTGTAAAGCAATTATCCTTCAATTAAAAAATTAATTAAAAAAATAAAATAAAAAATTAATTTAAATTTTAAAAAGAAACTGCAAATTTACTAATCAAACAGATGCAAATCAAAACATGTCTTTTCTTTTTCAAAGATTTAAAATATTAAAAAAAATAGTGCTGGCAAGAGCATATTTATATAATGTTGGTATAAGCATAAATTTATGGAGCATATTTAGGGGACTATAGAAATACTAATTAAAATGCATATTCTACAAAACCATCTAATTATAAAATCTATTTGCTCAATTTTTTTTTCTGAACAAGCATTTGTACAGTGCAAATGCTATTTAGAAGACAATATTTCTTAAAAATATTGGAAACTAAAAAAAATACTGTGAAGAACAAATAGGGTCTATGTATACTTAAGGGAACTCAAGCCTAAGTTTTTTGTTCATGTCAGTAGTTTTGCTTCTTTGTTATTCAGTCGTTAGGGGCTGTTTGTGTTAAATTTTACTTGTCCCTCTTCCTTTAAGTACCACCCAGAGGTTATTTTAACTTGACCACTGTGCTTGGCACAGAGTAGATGCTCAATAAATATTTACGACTAAATGAATCCTTTTTCTGTCTCATTTTCTTCTCCTATCAGAGCATGGATATAATGCTTACCACTTACTTAAAGGGATTTTTGGCAGAATCAAAGATGCTTGCAGAAATCACTGAATAAAAAAATACTGGTTCTCCTGTTTCTCTGAGGCTCGGGCTATCACTCTCCTGGGGAGGCCCAGGAAAGAGTCCTTCTCTTAGAATCTCCTGGACAAGACTCTGCCTGCCAGGGTCCTCTAAATCCCATATTGGAAAGAGGATGTACAGACTTTCAGAGAATCTCTGCTCCTTGTCTTCCTCATCAATTAAACAGCTGGGAAGGTCTGAGACCTGCAGACTAGGTAGCACAGGAACCCAGCCAGGTTCAGGCAGATGAACCAGCTCAGAGAGGCAAGAATTAGGTTCACGAGTCGAGAGTGATTCTGACAATAACAAGAGTTACCCAGACCAGGAACATTTGTGCAAATGGTGGCCTTTAATACTGAGAAAGACCATGCAGAGTGACAGCATAGGACCAAACCTTCAGAGGGTGGTACTGAGCCAGCCTCTCTCAGGACACTAAAGCCTGATCCCATAACAGAATAAATCAACTATTTATTTACATTTATATTTGCCCTGGAAACCCAGAGAAGGTCTGAGGCCTAGGACCATCTATCTTCCTTTCCTCCTCCCTCTCTTCCTACTTCCTTCTCACCTTCTTCAACTTTCCCAATTCTTTTCCTTTTTCTTGCCTCTCCTTCCCGCTCTATCCTGCTTCCTTTCTTTTCCTCTTTCCTTCTCTCTCGTTCTTTTTTTTCTTCTCCATATTCTCCCCATTCTTCTACCATCTACTCATCTCTACCCCTCCAAGCCCCATTTGCTATTTCTCCCCTGCCCAGCCCCTCAGCCCTGCCTTCCTCAGATTCAGTCTCCAGGCTTAGGGTGGAGAGGCAGAAAGGAGTCGTCAGCCCAAGGAGCACTTGTTGGTATTCTTCTTGTCACAAGTTTTCAGGTCAGTGCTGGGGGGCTTGTTGTTGTTTTTCTAGAGGGAGAAGGTACAGGGCTCAGGGTGAGAATGGCTAGCTGGGGCCATTAACTAAAGGAGATCCACCCTCACACGCAGTATTAGCATTGTTCCCCTCATCAGTTTTTACCCCCACCACACACACACTCTCACACACCCAGCTGTACTTAGCCCAGCACAACCAACTCACCAATCTCCGGCCTCCTGACTTGAGTAAGATGTCCCGTGCCAGGGAACAGAAAGCCTAATAGGGAAAGGTGAGATTGGTCAGGATAGGTTGAAGGGGAGCTTATGTCTGTCTTCCAGTGCTCTTTGGGGGGTGAAGGATGGGGTGTGTCTCACCTCATCTACATTCATACTGGATTTAGCACTTGTCTCAAAAAATCGGATTCCATGCTCCCGAGCCAACTGCATGGGAAGAAGTGGTAAGAAGAGAGTTGGACAAAGGGCAGCGGCCAAGTCCTCTGCGATCTAGCCTTACTTGGGCCCTTCTGGCCCAGTTCTGGAACATTGCCCAACCAGCTCTTACCTTATCAGCCTGCTCCTTCTGCACCTTCCTCTTGGCCTCCATGTCACACTTGTTCCCCAGTAAGAGGCGCTCTACCCCAGCCGAGGCATTCTGGGAACAAAGATAAGAGTAGAAGCTGGGTCCTGCTCATTTTCATAGGCTCCTTCATCCTCCAGGTTCTACCCAATTCCCCCACCTCTCTGGAACTGTCCTCACCTCTTTGATGCTCTTCATCCAGTTCTGAATATTCTCGAAGGATTTCTCATCTGTGATATCATATACTAGGATAATGCCCTGGGGAATGGCAGAGTTCACAATGGAGCCTTGTACCATATGCCCCTCTTCAGGCTTCCCCCTGCCCTCTAAGTGACCCTGTAAATTCTATCCACAAGACTAATCACCAGGCCACATGGGACCCTCTGCAACCCACACTGTGCCCCTCCCCATTTTTCTCTGCCCCAACTCCTGTCCCTCTGTAGTCGTACATTCTATTGCATCATCCCTTGTCCAGAAATATGCTTCATACCATGGCTCCACGGTAATAAGCAGTAGTTATTGTCTTGAATCGCTCTTGGCCAGCTGTGTCCCTGAAGGGGTAGAATATTTCATGGGGTGAGATAGAGGGGAGAGGTCTCCAAAGAGAGAATTCCACTCCCATCCCCTAAGAATTTAGCTTTTGCAACAAGGAATGTTGAACAAAATCAGGAAAACGATAAAGGGAAAAAGGGATAAGAGACTGTTGGGCTGATACCGAGCAAAGGTAACGGCTGAAGAGACAGATCTGTTTTATTGTTTATTCTGTGCCAAGCACTGTGTAGACGTCATTTTGTTTATGTCATTTTACCTAATCTTCACTCTATCCTTATGAGACATACTTTACTGCCTCTACTTTACAAATGAGGAAACATTTAGAGAGGAGAAATAACTAACGAAGGTCATTCTGTTAACAGAACAGGATTGAACCACAGTCTCCTCTTGTCTATTGTATCATAATGCCTCCATTAAGCCTCTTACCACTTGACACCCTCAGGGTCTCCAGTTTCCTCAGGAGAGTCAGGTCAAACCTCTCCTCTTGGCTTTATGGGCTCTCCACTGGATAGAGTCAAGTTTTAATTTTGCTACTTGCTATTTAACTGTTGAGAGCTTGTTTCCACATTATAGCTCAACAGACAGTTGAGCTAACTAGACAGTTGCCAAGTTCAGAGGAGTCTCTGGGTCCAGGACAGGCAACAGAATTACAAAAAAGTTGAAAATAGTTGAGTGAGCAGGAAGAGAGATTTTTTGAAGTCCTGGGGGATTCACTCACCAGACTTGCAGTTTGATCTTTTTCCCCTCTATATCCACAGTGCGAATCTTGAAATCAATTCCTAGGGGTGGAGAGGGTACACTGAAATAAAGACATGTATGTATGTGTACGTGCAAGTGTGTGGTGAGAGGGACAGGAATGGAGCAGTGCAGAAATTCTGCAGGGAAGGCACTTGGGAAGCAGTCTTGCAGGAAGTATAAAACTACGGGGATTTTCTCAAAGCTGTATTTGTGCAGCAAGCGTATTGTTTTTACTTAGCTCTTACAGACTTTGTGGGAAAGAAGATGATGAAAACTCTGCAAGGAGGCTGAAGGCCTTTACGGCACCTCTTGGGTCCACTCAGCCATGACAGCTGACAACTCTCTCAATTCAATCTGTCTCCCCCAAAATATTACTTTCTCATTTCTTCTCCCTTCTGTTTTCTTAGAACCCTCTACTCTCCATTATCCCATGTAGCCTCCTGACCCTACAGGGTGAAGAGCAAGGAAAAAGGAAACTGATACCAGTCCATGTGAATTAATGGTATGCCAGGCTTGGAAACAAGAAAATTTGAGTCTAAACAAGATTCCCCTGAGACTGAAATATGGGAAAGGGATATTTTCCCCTCCACTTTCTAACCAGAATTGTCTTGAGCCTCTCCTGGTCTTACTACCCAGGCCAGAGGAGGTTAAGAATGATGAGGGGGAGGAGAGGAGACAATGTTCTTAGTGGAAACTTGTGTACCTCCCCCAAACCAGTGAGGAGCTCCAGGGAGGAGGCTGAGTCACCAGGCTGACTCAGAGACCCCGAAAGTCCCCTCAGTCCCACCTTCCTTACCAGGCTGACTGCATATTCATGATCCCAGTCCTTGGGCCACTCTCTAGCACACCCAGCCCCGCTGTGCCACCCTCCCCAACCACCTAATAAGTTGAGGGGCAGAGAGACTGGAAAGTAGATGGCAAGGTGGGAATGCAGTGGGAGAGTTTGTAACTCAGTTAGGACAGAAAGAGGCTGGCAAAATTGGGAGACAGATGATCAGGGAAGAGGGGATACAGGAAATGTGGAGAATGGATCAAGAGTTCTAGATGGATGAGGGTGGGGGAAGAGGAGCTGAGAGGGAAACAGACACGGGTTCATGTGGATTTGTGGAGACAAGGGAGACAGGTGGTACCAAGAAAATAAGGGGCTGGCACAGGCACAACTGAGGAGTAATCTGGAGGTCTCAGAGAGGTTAGAGGTTTGGGTACCATCCTGAGATATATAAGGGGGATGGGTCTGAGAGAGAGTTGAGGGACTGGAGTCCAGAAGCCTGACACTAAAGCAGGCCACTAGTAATCCAAGAGCCTAGGAATGAGGGTATAGGGTAGTTGGGGATCCAGGGTATGGCCAGTGGGCTCACCGATGGTGGAGATGTAAGTGTTGTTGAAGTTGTCCTCTGCAAAGCGAATGATCAGACAAGTCTTGCCCACCCCTGAGTCCCCGATCAGCAGCAACTTGAAGAGGTGGTCGTAGGCTTTGGCCATGGCGGACACTGGGGGTGCCGGGAGAGGGGTAGGGAAGCGGAGGGCACCAGTAGGCGGGACTGGAGGGTTGGCAAAGGGAGCGGGCCGGAGCCCTGGCCAGGAAGTTTTCCTCCCTCTCCGCCCAGGCTCTGGGAAAGAGGAGAGGCGGCACTCCTCCGGGCCCCACCCCGTGCCCGCCCATCTCTTTCTGCTGGCCTCCTCGGCCAGCCCAGCCTCCTGCTCTCTGGGCTTTCCCTTCCCAGCCAACGCTGGCCTGTCTCCCTAACCATTTTGCAGTTTTTTGCTTACTCTCATCCCCTCTTTTGACTTTGCTCTTCCAGTCAGAAGTCAGAGAGGCTGGGGTGAAGTGGAGATTTAATCACAATGACCAGGGGAAGAGGAGTTTTAGGGAAATTCGGGGAAAAGGAAAGTTTGGGGGAATAAGGGTGAAGGCCAGGATAACACAGGAGTTGGCAAAAATTGGGGACTGATTTTTGAAAGGGGTACTCAAGAAAAATACAATCCTTCTGGGGCAGTTTTAGAATTCTGGTGGTACTGTTCCAAGCCCTTAGTTTTAGTATTCCAACTCCTTTTGAAAAAAGCGGGATGGCTGGAGTTGGTGGCTATTTGTTGAGTCAGTCTGCCCCCTGGTGGAAGAGAGTGAAAATTAAAATTAATTATACTATACAGTCAGCTCCAAAATTAATTATACTATAGAAACAGTTCCACACACTCCCTCTCCGTCTCCAAGCCCTAACCCTAACCCTAACCCTAGATACATTCTGGAGCTTCACCTTGAACCATATTCCTTCTGGGAACCTGTGTATAAATTCTCTGACAGGCTAGCTCAGGAAGATAGAGATTGAGACTACAAATGTCTGGTGTCATTCTCTTGATGAGATGTGGATCTTTTAACAGTCCGGAGGCAGTACTCCTAACACACTAATGAACAGACTGTGAATGTGTAGCCTTGGCAACCAGAAAGCTGAAATATGGAGAACATGGCTACACAAAACCAACTTTATCTTTGCTTTGAAAAAAATATTCAAAATATTTGCTTTTCTAATAGCAGGTCAGTAGAATAGTCCTTCTATAAACATAGTGTACTGGTTACGAAAAGGTATCTTTGGTCACTTCAGTTATCCTTGTCATAATATGTGCCAGTGTTTGTCCCTCTCAAACACAACTTATTCAATCCTCTTTTATCCTTTATCTCACCACCAATTATGTCTTCAAGTTGTATTACAAGACCTGAGTATTCGCTACTTCTCCCTGCTGGTCAAACCATCTCTCACTAGTGCTTTAAATTATTCAGTTTTCATGGATTTGTCTGATAAAAACCTATTGGTTCTTTTTCATTTCATCTTATTTTGTCTGAATCTGGACTTTTCATCCCAGCAACAGACTATTCTTTTTCACCTCTCTAAATTGCTGTTGTTTAGTTGCTAAGTTGTGTCTGATTTTTTTTCCATGTCTGACTCTTGCGACCCCATGAACTGTAGCCTGACAGGCTCCTCTGTCCATGGGATTTTCCAGGCAATAATGGGAAGAGTGGGTTGCCATTTCCTTCTCCAGGGGATCTTCCTGACTCAGGGATTGAACCGATGTCACTTACGCTGTTGGATACCTGCTTTCACTGGAACCTCATCTCCACAGTACTCTCCCACTAGCTCTCAGAGCTTCTGCAATAATGCCTTTGCCCCCCTCAATTATGGTAGGCTCTTCCTGGTCTCTGGTTTTGTATTCACAAACTCTTGCCTAGAATGCTGTTCTCCCAGATTGCTGCTTGTTTAATTTCTTGTCTTTCCGTGTGCGCGTGCTCAGTCGCTCAGTTGTGTCCCACTCTTTTCGTAGCCTCCCAGGCTCATCTGTCCATGGGATTTCCCAGGCAAGAATGTCAGAGTGAGTTGCCATTTCCTCTTCCGGGAGATCTTCCCAACACAGGGATCAAAACTGCATCTAGTGCATTGGCAGCTGGATCCTTTTCCACTGAGCCACCTGGGAACATGCCACTTCCTCAGAGGCTTTTCTCACCCATCAGTAGTGTGCCAAATCATACAGCAGGCTAAGGGATGAAGAACTGATGCTCCCCCCCCCCCGTTATTTTTATTAGTTGGCGGCTAATTATTTTACAATATTGTAGTGGTTGCCATACATTGACATGAATCAGCCATGGATTTACAACTGATTTACATGAATCAGTTCCCCATCCTGAACTCCCCGAATTGATGCTTTTGAACTGTGGTGCTGGAGAAGACTCTTGAGAGTTGTCCCTTGGACAACAAGATCAGACCAGTCAATCCTAAAAGAAATCAACCCTTAATATTCATTGGAAGGACTGATGCTGAAGCTCCAATACTTCGGCCACCTGATGCAAACGGTGGACTCATTAGAAAAGACCCTGATGCTGGGAAAGACTGAAGGCAGGAGAAGGGGAGGGGCCAACAGAGGATGAAATGGTTGGATAGCATCACTGACTCAATGGACATGAATTTGACCAAACTCTAAGAGATAATGAAGGACAGGGAAGCCTGGCCTGCTGCAGTCCATGGGGTTGCAAAGAGCCAGACATGACTGAGCAACTGAACAACAACAGTAGTGTGCTGGAACCAATTATTACTGGCTCATGAAAACAGATTGTGCTTTCCAAATCCGTGTTTAATGATGTAACATTGGTAGTCTGAAACTGGCCAAGCTGCGAGTATTTTCTCCATAGCGAGGACAACAAATCAGGGCTCCCCTCCATAAAGTCAATGGTTAAACGTTTGCCAGCGTATCCTTGACAAGAACTCCATCCCTTGTCCCATTCTATTCCTTTGGAATTAACCAGGTCCCCATATACCATTTGAGTCATCTTTGTTCCTCCTTTTTGACAAATGGACATTTTAACCCTTTGATTGTTACTGTAGAAGATAATGATTTGGTCTTTTTTTTTTTCTTTTCATTCCCTGCCCAGAGTGTCAGTGCTGCCAAGATTAGAAATCTTGGAAAGGCACTTCTGATGAAAATGTGGCGGAAAGGATGTGGGAATGTAAAGACACAGTTGTGAAGATTAACATTAAAAGCAGTCTGAACAATACAGAAGTGACTATTACTGAACTGTTACAAATGGGCAAACTAAACCAATTGAAAAATAGTAAAGAAAAAAAAAAAGAAAAATAGTAAAGAAATTTAACAAGTCACAGATATATGACTGAGTCTGTTTTCCTAACCAGTTCCTGTTGTTAAAGTGTAGCGCGAATTTTAAAAAATGTTTATTTACCCCTTGACGGGGACCAGACACTGACCTTAAGATACCAAGCATAACATGGCGACTCATCTGAGTGCTGTCATTTAGAGACCTTCCCAAAATGGCAGCCCCCACTTCGCCCCAAGGCCCAAGACCATGAGTGAAGGACCTTCTCAAAATGGCGGCGATAGGCCCTAACGTCATTTCCTGCGGGACGGCGAATTTAAGGATCAGGACTTCCGCTTCCGCCCCTTTCCGGCGGTGACGACCTCCTCACGAGAACATGCCTGTGAGTTCCTCCGGCTAGGTTTCCGTGGAGATCTCGTTCTTCAGTCTGCACGCTCCTCTCACGCTGATTTGGGATCACAGAAGGCCCTCATTTGCCCTCCGCACTTCCCAGAACAAGTAACTACAGGGGCCGCAGAGGCCAGCTGGGACCCGTGCATGGACGGGAGCGGAGAGGCAATAAGATGGCGGCCCAGCTGCGCAGACACCAGGGGCGACAAGGGGCGAGCTCTCCCCGTTATGTGGCAGTGTGGGCTGTTTTCGATCACCCATGGTCACCATTGGTTTCTAAATCTCTACATTTCTGCTTGTTAGCTCGCAAAGGATCTTCTTCATCCCTCTCCAGAAGAGGAGAAGAGGAAACACAAGAAGAAGCGCCTGGTGCAGAGCCCCAATTCCTATTTCATGGATGTAAAATGCCCAGGTGAGGAGATAACATGTAGTGGGGAAAGCACTGAATCCCATGAGTTGAAAAAATGTATCCGTGAAGCCCTAATGTATTCAAATTTGAATGTTAGAGATGAGTAAAATTTTGCATTTTAGGAGGAGTGATCCAGAGAGATTCCCCTTCAAAACTCTGTGTAGACCACAACCTTTGTGTTGGGAAACACTGTAATGATAATGTTGGGCTTCTGTGGTAATTTATGTACTTAATTCCTGGCGGCAAAGGGGTAGATACGTTGACCAGTTACTGAGCATCTCTCCTCACCGAGTACAGGATTTTTTCTCTCTGACTTTTGAATAATTTTTTGGATGATGATGATTGCTCAGAAAATCCATAGTTTGGGGCACATGGTCGAGGTTGCTTTTGAGTTGACTTTGATGTATACCTAGAGCCAGATAATCAAGTTTAGATTAGGGAAGTAAATTCCAAGAATTTTCATAGCATACTTGTTTTACAGTTAATGCACGGCAGCATATGTTTAAGTGAAGAAAGGTTTAGGGAAAAAAGGGTAACTCCTTGATGTTTCCCCCCAGGATGCTATAAAATCACCACCGTCTTTAGCCATGCACAAACGGTAGTTTTGTGTGTTGGCTGCTCTACTGTCCTCTGCCAGCCTACAGGAGGAAAAGCAAGGCTTACAGAAGGTAAATGGTTTAATGTAATTTTTATACTTTTTTCCCTTATGTCTTCCAAATGCATAATCAGGAAACATTCATCTCAAAGTGCTGCTGTCTAAAGCTGGGTGGATGGGTGATAAAAGGGTTTCATATGAGCTGAATCTGATGTCTAGTGACTAGGGAGAAGCTAAAAGAGTTGAAGAAAATACAGATGTAGGTTTCCTATGGGTTAGACGCATTTTGTTTTGTGGGGTTCAGGCAGGGTAAGTAGGCTATCAGTTAACCTTTGGAACTTTTTTTTTTGGGGCAGGATGCTCCTTCAGACGGAAGCAGCACTAAAAGCACCCTGTATCAAGATGAACGGGAGACCATCCCAATAAACAAGTTTTGGATACATCCTGTTTATTGTCTTGTTTTACTGCTAGGAAGTTCCTACCTCACGTAT